GAAATCGAAAGTTACCTGCCGAAATTGAATGGAAAAATCAAGAGGAGACAGGAACATTGCCGAAATTTAAACGGCCGCTGCCGAATTTGAATGGACTTTTACCGAAATTCGTCGGGGAAACCTATAATACTCGACGAGTCTCCCCCGTTGTCTGCTCCCAGTGAGCCTCAAAGTTCGTGAAGAGCCTCCAACAGTCTTTCTTCATCAATTTGAATTGACGATTCAGGCCATTTGAACTCAGTGATCCACGCTTCTCTCTCCCCCTCTCTCTGTTCCGGTTAGGAGGTGAAGCCTCCACAACGCCAAATGATGGTGAGGAGAAAGGTTCCAACTTACGACGCTTCACCTTCTAATTCATCTTAGTTAGGCTCAGAATCTCTAATAAAGGAAGGGATTTATCTTTCTCACTGCAAGTCCTATGAATTATTGGGAACGGCAGTGGCGTATTCTTGATCGGATGAACAAAGGATAGTCTTTTTCCTTTCTTGTCCTTCACTCCCACTGTACTTGAATTTCGATTTGAATTTTAAATTTGAATGAAATTCTCTATGAAGAGGGAAAGGTAGAGTTGCTAACGCGTCCGCAGAAGCTCTGCCAGGGACAGAAACGGATCAGGGGGACTACTCGTATATCCTCAAATTCGGCATTCCCTAATGTTGGGTGCAAGAAGGGTGGTGCAGAGCACTCATCGTCGACCTGTCGTTCTCGTCGTCCAAGATCGCCAGAAGGGAGTTAAAGCGATTCTGGTGATTGGGGCATTGATACGTGAGCCATTGTCCTTCATTCAGTGGCGGCTCATGATATTTAGCGCTAATGGTTCGTCTATGGCAGGGGTGTCAAACTGGCGGCCCGCGGGCCGGATCCAGCCCGCCAGTCCATTTTTTCTGGCCTTCGAAGTCCTCTTCAACAGTTGCTTAAGAAAAAGTACTGCAAATTTCAGCCTGTTTGCATTAAAGATTCGATGTTAGGGGTGGATTTTTGAACAGAGAACTATCTCATAGTGCAGCTTTATTCCAGGGGAAATACATGATATTTCCTGGAAATGAAGCAGCATTATTGGATAGTTCTCTGTTCAAAAATTCACCCCAGATTTTTATTGTGGCTCCTAATCACCCCCGAAGACTTCCATCTGGCCCCCAGCCTAATCGAGTTTGACACCTCTGGTCTATGGAGAGGGGGTAGGCAGCGTCCTCCCTGCCTACCCCCTCTCTATAGACGAACCTCTAACGCTAGATATCACCAGCCGCCACTGCCTTCAATATCCAAGTATTGATTTCCGCACGTGGATGTTGTTTCTCTTCTCGGCCAGCCCTTGCAGAGTGCAGAAATAAGGGAAGAAAAATCCTCTCATTCTCATTTGTTGCTGTTCTTCCCCCTGGCTATCGTCATCTGCTTTCGCTTCTCTTCCAACCGAAGTTTCCCGAACAGATTGCTTATCTTAACTCCGTTTTGCTTCATGAAGTCTAGTCCAGAGGTACACAACTCAAAAGACTGTGAGGGCCACTTGCGACTTTTAATCACATACTGCGGGCCGCAGTCTGACTGACCATAGCTGTAGCCAACAGGGCAGGAGTCATAGTAGCACTTACAACGCCACCAGACATAGCGGGCCGCAAGCAAGGACCTCGCTCGCCGTATGTTGTGCACCCCTAATCTAGTCCATCCCATGGAGGCCCCGTCATTTTTCTCTTATGAGTGCTTTCGTCATACTATCGATGAGTCGTGAACATCACGGACAATGTAAAAGTAAAGTGAGGGCGATAATCATCGGCAATGTCTGTGAAAGGAACATTCTTTGAAACTAATTCGAAATCAGCAGGATCAGTTAATCGGGCTCAGACAATGGAGTACAGTTGAATGGAATCGATGGAAGATCCCTGTTCAGCTTCTACAGTTTCTTTTAAAGCAAGTGGCGGAGGTGGAAGAGGCTGAGGTTCTCCCGGTGGGAAAGGTGTAGTCTCTTTCGCTGGTGGTTCTTCAGCTGGGGGTGGCGGTGTAGGCTCCTCAGCTAGAGGTGGTGGAAGTAGCTGGACTGGAGGAAATGACTCTTCGGCTTCTGATTCTTCGGGTGTTATCTCCTCAGTTGAAGGAGCTGGCTCTTCGGCTTCTGATTCTTCGGGTGTTATTCCTTCAGTTGGAAGAACTGATTCTTCAGCTTCTGATTCCTCTGGTGGTTTCTCCTTCACTGGAGGAAGTGGTTCTTCAGTTGGGGGTGGAGGTGTCGGCTCCTCTGCTGGAGGTGGTAGGAGTAACTGGACTGAAGGAGATTTCTCCTCAGCTTCTGCTTCCTCAGGTGTTATCTTCTTAGCTGAAGGAGGTGGTTCTTCAGCTATTGATTCATCGGGTGTTATTCCTTCAGTTGAAAGAGCTGATTCTTCAGCTTCTGATTCCTCTGGTGGTTTCTCCTTCACTGGAGGAAGTGGTTTTTCAACTGGGGGTGTTGGTTCCTCTGCTGGAGGTGGTGGGAGAAACTGAACTGGAGGAAATGGCTCTTTGGCTTTTGATTCCTCGGATGGTATCTCCTCAGCTGAAGGAGGTAACTCTTCGGCTTCTGGTTTCTTGGGTAGTACCTCACCGGCTGATAGACTTGGCGTCTCAGCTTCCTCGGTTGAAGAAAGTGGCTTTATGATTTTTGACTCCCCTGGCGATATCTCCTTAGGTGGTGGAGGTGGCTCTTCATCTCTTGGTTCTTTGGATCCTTTCTCTTCAGCTGAAAGAAGTGTTTCTGTGGTTTCTGGTTCCTCGGGTTGTTTCTCCTGGGCTGGAAGAGGTGACTCTTCAGCTTTTGGTGCCTTGGGTGGTATCTCTTCGGCTGATGGGGCAGGCTCTTCGACTTCCAGTTCCTTCGATACTTTCTCGTGGGCTGCTGGAAGCGATTCTATGGTTTCTGGTTCCTTGGACGGTTTCTCCTGGGCTGGAAAAGGTGGTTCTGCTTTTCGTTCACTAGGTGCGTTCTCCTCAGTTGGAGAAGGTGACTCTTTGGCCTTCGGTTCCTCAGATGGTTTCTCCTCTGCCAGGGAAGGTGACTCCTCAGCTTTTGGTTCCTTGAGTGTTTTCTCTTCGGTTGGAAGAGATGATTCTATCGATTGTGATTCGTCGGGTGGTTTCTCCTGTGATGGATGAAATGACTCTTCTGCTTTCGGTTCCTTGGATAGTATCTCCTCAACTGGCGGGGCAGACTCTTCAGCTTCTGATTCCTTTGATAGTTTCTTCAGAGCTGAAGTAAGCGATACTTCAGCATCTTGTTCCTCGGATGCTTTCTTTTGTGCAGGAGAAGGTTCTTCTGCTTTAAATTCCTCAGGCTGTTCGTTCTGGGTTGGAGAGGGTGGTGGCAGTGATTCTTCTCTCTTAGGTTCTTCTGGAGATGCAGCAGACAGTTGTTTAACTAAGGGTTCACCCGCGTCCTCAGCCCCTGCACCTGACATAATCCCCCCCGATTCGGATGAGGCCACAGAAGCTTCACCTGTCCCGACCTCACCTGACTCCACTGCCGATGGCCCTTCAGCCGAGCCCCTTCCACCATACCCACCTGCTCCTTCACCCGAGGCACTTCCAGCAGAACCTGCAGTTTTCTCATCCGGTACTCCCTCGGCAGATGCAGCCTGTGGCTTGCTCTCCTCACCATCGCCCAGCGCCGATGCTGCCGACTCTCCGGAAGCGATCGCTGCCTCTGGTGTAGACTCGGATTCGGATTCCGTCCCGGATTCTACCGACTCGGCAGATTCTGTTTCGCTGGGCGACTCGGTAGGAGTCTCGGATCCGCTCTCTATTTCGCTCTCACTCTCAGTGTCGGCCATTTTCCTCTTCTCTGCATGGAATCAGACTTGGCGATTCGTCTCAAACTTAATTCCATACGCATTTAAAGAGATACCGAAATGCGAGAATTCAGATAATGAGATCCAGAGCCTTACCTTTGAGGAAGTTGCCTTGATCTGGTCAGGCCCCTTTTGCTATGACAATAGGACAAATTCGTGGCTGGGGAAAAAAAAATTAAATTCGATGTCAAGGAAATCTTTTACTGACCTGCTTGTTGCCTCTAACCAATCGAAGCTCAAAGATGCAGTAAAAGACGAAGATGGGAACTGGCAAGGCATAAAAGGGGTAGACATAGAAATTAGAATGGAATAGGTGCTATTGTCGACCAGGTTGAGGTGGGACGAAGAAAAATTCGCCTGATCTTTTCCCTTTTCTTTCAGATAATTTTTTTTTACCTATTGACGCAGGTTTAACCCTCAATTCTTTGCAGAGCGGTTGAAAAGCTACGAAAAAGTACCCTCTGCTTGTTTGCATCGCCTCCTCAGTAGCATGGAACAATGAGAATCGAGCACGAGCCGCTTCCAGTTCAGAAATCTCCTTTCGAATAGACAGGTTCCCGTTATTGAATTTTAGTTCGACGATCTTTCAACAAATCCTCAGGATGGACTCAAAGAAAAGAACTGTGGAGAGGGCCCTGCTGCACGATCATTCAAGGCCGATATGATTCCTGATCCTCTTCCAGCCTGTTTCAGAGACCTTTAGATAAATTCACATTCCGAGGAGATAGAAAATAGCAAGGTCTTAATTTACTTATGAATGATTTCCATGGATAAAACAAAAATGTACGTCAACTAAATGAAAGTGGAAGCAAGGATTCATACCCTCATTGGTGAAGTCAGGTGGCTATGACATCTATGTACCAAAAGACCACAGCTAGGAGAGAAGTGTAAAAATTGCAATTGCAGACGTACAATTTATAATTTAGCAAGAAATCGCTGTGAGTGGAACTCTTCTGGAGAAATAGAAATAGTCTCATGCACAGCAGGGTGCGGGGGTCGTAGTTCCGAGTTCATTCTTATTGTGCGCGTGAATTTCCGTCAGGAGAAATCCCGAGTTCGTCATGAAAGAGATAGGCGGCCTTCTATGCTGCCGTAACGACTTTATTCTTCAGCAATGCATGGATGTGTGTTTCGATTCGTGGATTACGCTCTGAGAAGGGAGAACTGATGAGTTTAGGGGAGTTGCTAGTAAAAGGACGCGGAGATGCCTGAGAAATCGAGTCGGCTGCCTTCGAACCTGCGGCGATCGTAGTGGGTACTGGGTACGAGGAAGGCTTCTTTCCGTCTGGGGATGTCAAGTCCGAGGTCAAGGTTGGGAGTGCCCTCGCAACCTCCCTCTTCTCGCCAGCACCGGTTCCCAGTATAAAAAGGGCAGACTGGGTTAGGATGCGTGTCTGTATCTGATCGGTTTCGGAGGGGACAGCCAGCCTCGTGTTCTTCCGTTTTCCTGCTCCCTCCGCACGATGGAGCTTGGAAAAAGCAGCGGAAATTCACGGGTTTGCTCTTAGCTGACTGTCAATAATTATTGGCTCTAGAGACACCACGCCCTACCGGGATTTTCCCCATTCTTGCAACATGTCCCTGGCTGAGTGGTCCTAACGGTGTTGTGCCGACCCGTCAAGGAACATAATGGGACCATCCCATCCTCGTCCGTCCTCGAAACCCATCCAGTTTCTCCTGCAGCAGACATCCTCTTCGTGAAGAGGGGTCTCGTCTTCTGCGGGCGTCTCTCCCTTTCGTTTCTAAAGGAAAGGGGACAGGCTGGCAAGTGAACGAGACGGCTCGCTTCCGCCTTCTTTTTCGTTGATTTGTCTCCAGGGTCGGTTCTGGTAGCGACTTGAAGGGCCTCGACAAGGTCGCTAAGGGGGACGAGGGCGGGTTGATGTTTCTTGCCAGGCTCAGCTCCCTTGTCTCTCGGCGTAGCCGGTTGTCCCGTCTTCTCCTTCGGCGCTGGTTGTTGGGTGGGACCATCGGCTAGCGTCTCTTGTAGAGGCATTCTCTTATGGCTCCCTTGCGTCGACGGTACTGGAAATGGACAGAAGAACTACCTTTTGGAGAAGAGGCATCACAGACAACCGGCCGATGGAAGAAAGGCGGCTCGGTCATTGTTGCAGCTTCGCTGGCCTGCTCTTAAACTTTCAAGTCTTTCAGGAGAACTTAGAGATAAAAAAAAAAGCTTACAAGAACACTTTGAGCCCTTGATGCAGCCGAGCCCTGCGGACACACTTGCCGTCGTGAAATGATGCGATTAACATAGCATTCCCCCGTTGAGGCGTTTGAATTGTTATTGCAGAGCATTTTACTGATCAGCACACGGTCCAAAAGGCTTGCTTTCTCCTAGTCAGCCAATGACGGTGCTTTGGAAAACGCGTAGCATCTTAAGGCCTGCTATTTCTCATTGGGGGGCTTGCAGCTCATGATAACCGCGATTTTACAATAATACAAATACCTAGCCTAGTGACAACAAATTAGGGAATGGTGTCTCATTCCTTCCCCCCCAATAATTGTGTGAGACTGCTCATACAATAACATGGTTGTCAGTGCGAGTGTTTATGCATACAGTATGTGCGTGTGTCTGTACCTCTTCTCAGATGTGGGGGGTAGAGAGAGAGAGAGAGAGAGAGTGTGTGTGTGTGTGTGTGTGTGCGCGCGGTAATCCTAGTTCCAGAAGACGGAAAGTCCCAAAGGGGACCATTCAGGGCTTCCTCTTTCGGTTTTCTCTTCCCATGCTCCAATGACGCTTTCGTCATATCCCCCATTGTTCTGCCTGGCGGATGCTTCAAAGGAGGCTAGCTATTGGACTGGGATTTCACTAGCTTGTTCTTACGTTTTAGGGAGTTAAAATCTCGCGAATGAGGCTACACGCGATCTTTCTTCACATTTCCTGTCGTCTTCCCAGAACATCTGGTCGCTAGTTTTTGCTTACGATTTTTATTTTGCCCCCTTTCCGGCTTTTTTGTGTGCATTTTTTCATGATATGTGACTTCCTGACAGCTCTTGACAAGCTAGAAAGAAGGTGAGTCAGACAAATTTTTGTGTATCGCTATTCTCCATCTTTCCGAGATGGGCATGAGAAGACTTTGAGTCGTTCTCTTCTTCATGTTTACATCTTGGTCGACAGCCGCAGAGCTATTTTAAAACGAATGAAGCCTTGCACGTGACAGCCACCTGACAACGATGGCGTCAAGCACAAAATTTTACCTTTTGATTCTGGCACACATCTTTTCCGCCATCACTATGAGGACCGTGCAAAGCCATGTTGGCAAACGGAAAATCAGAGGAATATCCTGTCCATCAGATACACACGTCAGACTAGAGGGAAAACAGGCGCTGCTGTCCTATGATTCCATGGAGATGTTCTGTTGCAGTCCCTCTCCGTCGCCTAACAAAAACGACGGGGAATGTCGATGCATATAGGAGACAATAGATGTCACTGGTGCCGATGGGGCTGGCCACAGAACCACGACAAAGGGGGTGAGGGGGGTAGCCTCGGGAGGAAGGAAATCCCTAAGGAGGAAAGTAATGTTTTCTGTTCAATTTTATTTTTTCAAGGGGGGGAACCAATCTTTCGCCCCCTCCCATTCCATGCCAGTTGTTCGTTTGGGGGGAGGGGGAAGACACACTTTATGTATGCAAAAATAATAAGCCTAAACTTCTATAATGGGGTAGCAACAGATCGGATTTCCGTGCGCATCCCAGGCAGTGAGTCCTCAACCAGAGCATAGAGGACGTCCAGGAAAGGTCACCGTATCGCGTGTTTCTCCTGAAAAGTTGTCCAAGCATCGTGCTTGCATCCTATAAGCATCAGTTCTCGTCGAGTTTTTCGTCATTGAACGGTTTTACAGGTGTCAGATAGAAATGTCTTAGGAACCAAAATTTGGCAAGAGCAGTTCGCAGGACGCCTACAAATATATAATTTTAAAAAGTTCCCATTTGACGTGATTCTATCATATGATATGGACCAACAAATGATCCCGTCACCACATCTCCCGCTTAATACTCGTTCAGACGTATGACAGTAGACGTCTCGGGGGTGCCACGGTGAAATATGAGGCCTGGCAGAGAGGAGAGAGCACGATGAAGGATGCAACCTCCTGCTTAGTCAGACCCAGAGAGTGCGCAATGACATTCGATCGAGGAAAACAAACGTGACATTTGTGCGGCATCATCCGGTCTGAGAGAAACTTCGGGAGGAGACGTGCCCGAGCTATGGATTTCATCGGGATGCGAGTCGAGGAAGGGGATGGAATGGGCTGAGGATGCGCGCATCGATCTGGACACGATGGAACTCTGCCAGAGGAACACTGCCGGATCCCCCACACCTTGCACGCGATAGCCGTATCTCCTCCGTGTGACTCATGGAGCCGCGGAGCAGGCCTTGCAGCGTGGTGGCCTTCACAGTGCCCCCGTGCTTTCGTGAACTCGGTTGTGTCTCTGTATGCCCGGGAGAGAGCGAGTGATGCAGGGGACTCGAGTGGCGAGATCGACACGTGTTTCCTTCCCGTGCCTTGCGCAATGCTTCCTGCTTTCCCCGCTTTCTTTATCTCGAGTGCTCGAGGTCGTGGATATTCCTGGAATACAGCTGAGATTCATGGGTTCCAAAGCTCTTATTATACTGTCGAACCCATCGATTCGCGAGGTGTCCTGGTCGCTGTTTTAGGCTTTGAAGAAGAGCGGTGGCAAGCGTCTAAGGCATCTCACGTCTCGATTAAAGGCTGCCATAGTGACAGCATCCTTTTTAAGCTATATCTGTTACCATAGTGGGACCATATCTGAATGAATTCCACGCTTCAGCACTAGTGTCTCGTGAATGACTCCTCGGCCGCAACATTAGTAACCCGACCAAAATTTGGCATCACTCACATGCCTAACTGCAGTGATTTCGATGTGAGCGTCCGAGTGATGCCATGGGACCGGACAGATGAGACCGTCCAGATTTCCCTCGTCGAGAGCCGGAACTGGATAAATTTCTCGTTCGAAACTCAATTTTGACGAGCAGATAAACCGTCCGCTCGCTGAGACTCTGAAGTCCGTGGCGCGCGCTCTTAAGTTCGTCTCACGTTACGACGCGAAAGGCAGCTATTTCGCTTCCTTCATATGTAACGAATTTAGTCAGTACAGAGGGGTTAAGGATACATTTTTTTTGCCGAAAATGTTCGATTCGAGCCGTCGCTTCTCGATAGCTTGATCGATGCAACCCCGATCCTCTTTCCGTGTTCACAGGTATCAGAGGAAAAGCCCCGCGATGGCCTGGTCCATTCAAGACGGTTTCCATCCGAAGGAGCTGACCCCAGGCGACGCGATCAGGTACTACGTGTTCCCCTGCTTCCTCGTCCTGGTCTGCACCCCTGGCTCCTTGTTCCTCTTGTGGTTCGGCCAAGGCAAGGACCGGCCGGCCCCGGACGCCAGCGTCTTCTTGGGCAGCAGCTTCGCTTGGACCGTCGTCGCGGTGACCCTGGCCTGGGCCTATGCGTTCCTGAGGATTCCGTCCGCGAAGTGTCACGGGCCGACCACATACTTCGGGCAGACCCCGGAGTATCAGGCCAATGGGGTCCTTTACTTCTGGGCCAGTTTGATCGCTTTCGTGTTCTGCTGTGCGTTGTGGCCCGATCTCCCCGTCTCGATCTACGAGGAAATGCCCTACATCATGGGGTCTCTCAACAGTTTCGCCCTCTTGTTCTGCGTCCTGCTCCTCGTCAGAGGGAAGTACTGGCCCCAGAGCAAAGAACGGATTGGGAAGTTTCCCCTGATCTACGAGTACTACCGGGGCATGGAACTCCACCCGAGGATCTTCGGCGTGGACATCAAACAGCTGATCATCTGTCGATTCGGCATGATCGCATGGGAACTCCTGAACTTGACCTACCTCTTCGCCGGGCTCCGTCTTCACAGTTACAACGCGGGCTTCCTGGTCAGCGTCCTGCTCCAGTCGATCTACCTGGCCAAGTTCTTCTGGTGGGAGGCGGGATACTTCGACACGTTGGACATCATCTACGACCGAGCGGGCTTTTACCTCTGTTACGGGTGCTTGGTCTTCGTCCCGTCGATCTACGCCTTCTCGTCGTATTACTTCGTGGCCCACCCGCCCCTCGTCTCCGACGTCACGGCCTGGGTCGTCTTCGGGCTCGGCATCGCCTTCGTGCTGCTCAACTACAAGGTGGACTACGAGAAGCAGGTGTTCAAAAACACCGGCGGAAAGTGCGAGATATGGGGAAAACCGGCGAGGTACCTGGAAGTGGAGTACTCCACGACGAGCGGCGTGAAGCGGTCCAAGCTGCTCACCTCGGGGTTCTGGGGCATGTCGCGGCATTTCAATTACGTGTTCGAGCTGCTCGCGGCGTATAGCTGGGCCGTGGTGGGGATTCATTACGGGGCGTGGCCGTTTCTCTACAGCACCATACTCACGATCCTGCTCGTGCAGAGGATCTTTCGGGACGAGGAGAAGTGCTCGAAGAAGTACGGGAAGTACTGGGATCAGTACTGCAAACGCGTGCCGTATCGACTGATCCCTGGAGTTTTTTGACCGTGTTTCTCCGGTGCTTTACCTTCTCGTACGTTTTGGGGATTATATAACCAAGGGGATTATATAACTTATACCAAAATCATGCAAATCATGGGAGTACCTCGAAAGTCAAAATAAAGTTTTTCCTTGAAGTTCCATCCGCTTTCTTGACCTTGAAACCATGCACCCTCGAACGTAAACGTTCAACTAAATCGTAACCTCCGATAATTGACACATTCCAGAGCACAAAAACTTGCCCTTGAAAAGCGAGGCGTTTCTCTTACCTTCGAACCGGGCGAACCGGTTGCCTTGCATTTTAATGAAATGGCCCAATCTCGCATTTTCATCGACGACGCATTTCTTACTTGATGTCGACGGGTTGAAGCGACTCGAAAATGCTAAATTCGTTTTACGTGCTCGGCTGACGGAGACGTGACCTGAGGAATCCTGTCGTGGGGTGACATGGGGGGGGGGGGATGGGGATGTCATGGGGGGGGGATGTCATAGGGGGGGGGAGGGGCTGGCAAATGAGTACTTAATCTCCGGAATTTATCTACGGAATTTCCATGCATCACGAGTTCCAGATTTCTCGCGAAGGCATTCGACGTGCCACTCGTCGCGAGCATGAACGTCATTTTGCAGCATAACAGTGACAAAAATGAAATGAAACGTCCCCGCTCTTCGTCTTCGGAATGTCACCGAAAATCGTCGGGAAACAGAATCTTGAAGTAAATCTCTGAAATGCACAAAGTGGGAAACGGTACTCCACGGTACGCACGGTGCCATCGAGGTATTGTGCCATCAAGGCATCGTTCCACTTTCCCCATATGGTTGAAGCCACGGCCAGGAACGCGAGAGAGCAACACGGCCTTACTCGAGTGTTTCCTGTTTCACACTGATTTTAATGAATGCTTAATGGGAACACCGAAACAAAACAAAAAAATTTGTTAAGTCTTCCCGCCCCAAGTTCTTCCTTACTGATGTGACCTTTTCCTCGTTTCTCCAACCATGCCGGTGCTTCATCGACGGGCAAAGGTCACGCCACTCCACAGTCCATTTAAAAAAAAAGTTAGGTCCACGCCCCGGCTACGTCACCGCGGAGGAGCGACCGAGGCGATTAGATAAGCGCCGTGGAGGGAGTCGAGAGGGAGTCGAGAGGGGCTCCATTTCTTTTTTTCGTGAAAAAAATCGTGCAAAGAAGAGGCGAAATCCACCTTCAAGTGTCATAAACAGACAGAAAATCGATCCCAAAGTCCTCTCTTGATTGGTTCCTTTTTTGAGAAGAGGCCATCGCCGTCGAGAGAAAATTCCCAGGAAGCAATTGCATGGAAGAAGTAACAACGAATTGCCAAGAGGGAAACGATGGCTTCCTTCGAATGCCATTCCGAGTTCCTTTCGATCCCCTTCGACCCGGGTGAGATCGAGGGAATCGGATCGAGGGAATCGGATCGTCAGGTGGATGTCGGGAAATATATTTGTATCTTTTATTTTTGGAAAAGATTTCTCTCTTGCGTCGCCGTCTTGGGGTCCGTCGTTCACTGTCGGCTTTTTTTTTATCCTCGGGGATTTTATTTGCTTGCGAAATTCATTTTTGCAACGGTCGAGGCAACCAGGAAATCCTGGATTAGTTTCAAAAGAAACCACGAGAAACTCGATCCCGTGAGAAACTCGCGAAACGACATGGGAAACTCCTCAGATAAGAGTGCAAAACGAAACGGGAAGTTCACCTTATCGCTCGCCCCCTCCCACCTTCCCCTCCCTCCCCCCCCACCTTCCCCCAAGGTCGGACTGATTCATCTGGCTTTTCCTCCAGTGCCACCGGGGGGAACTTAGTCCTGCTGAAATGGACGGAGATTTGTCCCCGTTTTGCACTAAAACGTGAAAGCTTCGATTGCGAACGCTCGCGAAAACGAAAATAGCGCGAGAGACCGCGACGTGCCGCTTCTCCCCTTTCGCGCGATCCGCGCGGTCTTCCCCGCGGACCTCGAGGACTTCGCTCATCATCGTTGGGATGTCGCGATCGATAGGAATTTCCAGGATTCGATACAATTTTTAAATAAATTCAGTGAATGAGTGATAGAATCGATTTCCATAGTTACTCACTAATAATGATTAAATAAGCAAAATGGTACATGCATATGATACTTTTAAAATAACTCGAAATTCGATTGCCTGAATAGATTTGTATGCGTAATTAATGAGTACTAATGAGTCAGAATGAGTCAGCTTAATTTGACGACATGAAAGGGGAAGCGCTTCGGCGTTACTCTCAGTTTCAGCGAAGCTTACTTACTTTGTTATTATTTACAATATTTGGAAATATCCTCTGAACTGGGGTTTCTCAAAGGGGGCCGCGAATCCACGTCCAGGGAAAAAAAATAAATAGCGGGGAAAATGAAAGAGCGCATTTTGAGAGAGGTCTTTTGAGAATTGCAAGCAATAAAAAATATTAATTTTTATTTATAATAAAAAAAAAAGAATAGAGCGTCCTCGCCGACTTTTTCTCCTAACGTGTCTGCAATTACCAGATGTTAAAGTCGATGCACTATTGAAGAAGAAAAAAAAGTTTCTATCAGAGAAGTATCTCGGACCGAAACTGCGCTTTTTCCATGCCAGTATGACAAAACACCGTCTGAGACAAATAATGGTGCGAAAGTTTCGCACTGAGGGAGAAATGACAGACAAAAAATGGTTTAAGTTTCTTCTACAGGTTTTTTTTTTTAAATACATATATTTAAATTTGCATTTCGGAACGCACATATTAATATAATTAGTGCTAATTTTTCTCCATTTTCAGGTGACTGAAAAAGCATAAGTTTGACAATAGCCGAAAACGATCCGGTTGTCGTTAGAGATTATCGAGTGGTATTTTGAGTTAAATTCTGTGGTCAATGCACGAAAGAAGTCGAAACGCCGTCGCAAGACGACCCAAAAAGCCTTCTTGCGGTGCCCTTTGTGACTTTGTCGGGAAGTTTTTAGGAGATGAAGGTCAGTCCAAGACCAGCCGAAACGAGGTCGACCTTGTTTGGAAACCCGTGATATCAGGGAAGTCCTTGAATTTTTGGGAAATTGGATACCTAAAATCCTGAATTTGGATACCCAGTATCTTTAATTTAAAAAGTCCCGAAGAGCATCTTGCATCGGTTTCGTAATAAAAATCCAAGTTGCTGCCAGAGTCGACGTGAACAGATTTGGAGAAGCGAACTACTTTTCTGCCTTCGGAGAAATTGATGCGGTGTGGATATTTTTTTTTACTCAACATTTTCTATTCCGGGCGAGGTTAACTTTTGGCGGCTAACTCTGCATGCTAGCACATCTTAGTGGCAGGGTTAACCGCCAAAACATTCGATGTTGGGACGACGAAAATCCAAACGCGACAACTGAACAAACCCCTCCATTCTGCTGACAATGTTCGTGCCACCTGTGTCTTCGGTCCTTTCTTTTTTGCTGAAACATAAATTATTCAACTAAAGTGGCAGAAGGATGAATTTCTTCCGGAATTGGAGAAGGTTTTGATTTCGGGTTCGTGGGGGGAGACCTTTATAAGATCGCGTGCCGAGCAAGGGAACGTGGCCTCCAAGGTCCCTTGGAGGCCACGTTTCTGCGATTTTAAAGGGCAAAGTGTATGAGAAAAACCACATGCTCAAGAACTCAAGGACGAGATCCGACGTGAAGTTTACGCTGCTTCTTGCGAAACAGGTAGACGTCGCAGATCCCCACGCTACGACATTGCGAGGGTCAAAAAGGCCCTTCAAACTGGTGGCTCGCACAATGAGTCATTTTGCAATATTTTTTATTGAGGGAAATCGTCATCGGGATTGTTTAAATTTACTGGAGTATTCTTTCCTGATGTTGCTTATTGATGGTATAACATTTTCGCTGCACTTTCCAGTGCTTTAGGATTTTTCTTGCACCTAGTAAAAGCACCTCGCTTCATATAAAAATAACTGAAGATTTACTGAAACTAGTCATTCCAGATTGCAGAAATGTCTCAACGAGCTACATCAGTAAGGACAAGTTATCTCATTGAAACCTGTATACCCCCTCACAAGCCTCATGCATACAATTAAAGAAAAGGCAAATGAGACTGTGAGAAGATACTGAAAGCTCAGGTATGAGTGGTGTTCTCTTAAGTTAATTCCCCACTTTGGGTCACTTCTCTGAGTTTGATACCCTGTTTTAAAGATTAACATCACTTTGGCTAGGAACAGAGTTCACTCAGAGTGAACCTGGAACTGCTCACTAACTATATTTACAAGGTATTCCACTTATTTATGTTTACAACTGGACTCCCTTTTTTCTGACTTTTGGGGCACTCCAGTCAAATAATGTCACAGGATACTGTTTATGCAGGATGAGATAATTACAATTTGAAATAAGAGGTATGTAAAATTTGGAATTCACTTCGAAGAAGGATGTCTTCTATTTGACCCACCAGGGCAATCCTCATGGTTTTCATGTTGAACTGGAGCAAGAACTTGAGATTCAAATCCATTTAAAAATATTTCGTACATTCGCACAAGGCATACAGCACATTAAAATTCAGAGGAATATCTTTAAAAAACTTGGAGGGAAATTCTTCATGAAAAGAATCTCAATCATCCAGGCATGAGGTCATGTAAAGAAATAGGAAAATTGTATCGGATCAACAACTGATATCAAACTTTACAAAAGCAAGTTCATGAAAGTGTTTGTACTTCAACTGCACTGGAATCATTAGACTCCTTTCCAGTGAAAGATACAACTCATTTTTTAGAAAATGAAAAGGCAAGCTCTCATGACTTCTCCTTGCCATTCCTCTCTTCCTTCTCCTTGTTGTACTTCTCAAGTTCCTTCAAGAACTGTGCCTTGGGCTTCATGACAGTTGGTTTATCGCCTCGACACCGTGGACAGTACCACTTTCCCTTTGGCTTGCAGCTCAAGTTGACACAGGAGAAATGGAACCACTCAATAGGGCACAGGTCATTGTCACATCCGATCATGTCACCGAATGAAACCTGTTCACACAGACAGTAAGTTGGTTCATCAGGATCAATGGGAATATCTCCCGGCGATTCTTCTGCAGGCTCCTTCTCGATTTTCTGTTTTCTCTTTCTACGTCTTGCTGCCCTCTTTGGATGAGGTGCAGGGGACTTTTCAACCACTCCTGATTCAGATCCGGTCTCTCCATGGTTGAAATCAGTTCTGGCACTCCTACGGGATCGCTTATTACCTCGATCTCCCATAACATCCTTCAAGGAATCACCTTTCTCTCCATCCTTTCCCATGTCTGAAATGCATAAAATTTGTGCCATTAGATCTCTTTTATAAAGTGAGCTCACCATTATTTCAGTCCCATTTGCAATTCCACTGTGAGCCAAGAGAATGGACTAAGGTAGAAAGCCACCAAGGAAAGTATTGAAGAATGAGACTTCACAAACCTTCAAGTTTTTTAAATCTTCGGATAAAGGGATGCATTAAAACTTCAGAATAAAGAAGAAAGAGACAAAAGTATTTTAGATCTGCTAAATTTCCCTTGCTAGGCAGTACCAGTTTCAGCAAGTGAAATCCCAAAAAATAAAATACAGGAGCAGTCTGTAATTTTCTGTGCCCTCTCAAGCTGGTTTCTACCATTGAAGTCAGTCATAGCATTCAGTGGAATAATGTATAGGCTGCATGTTTTAACAAATGATGAGACATATACCAAGACTCTTTTGATCAGTCTTCAGGAGGCATATCTTGTCTTCAATGAGATCAATGGCATCCTCCAAGTATTGGAGTTTCACATCATTCAGCTCCTTCATCTTGATGAGTGAAGCTTCAGCATGCTGTCTGAATTTCTCATGAGCTGCAGCATCTCCTTCACTATCTCGCAGATCTTGCTCAAGTGACTCCAAATCTTCCAATACACCTATGGTAGAAAAATATGCTACACATGCCAATAATATTGTGATAGATCAGGACTCTCTAGGCCTATGCTCGAAGTCTGGTATTGAAATAAAGAGATTTCCAAGTGATTCTGTACCAACCTTAACAGTGAGGAAGCAATTTCTATGGTGCATACAAAGTGAATAGATATCTCTAAAAAAAAAAAAAAAAAAGTGATATACAGTCAATGGCACTAGCTGATGGCTGTGAGATTTACAACAAGTTTTAACATGATGGACTGGGATAACTTATTGGCTGATATTAATTGTTAAGCAGCAACCAAGAAACTTAAAAAAAGAACTTTTTCTTTCTCCAAAATTTAACTGCCAGTCTGTAACAAAAACAAAGAGAATGAGACTCATGGGTCACAAGGTTGCAGAGTAATCAACAAAGACATTACCCACATCATTATAGCCATAGCTATTTTGGAGCAACATCCATGTAACAAGGACAGTAATGTGGCAGTTAAATACTTTTTTGAGGATACACAAGAGTAACAATGCACTACAGCCAGCCTTGAGCTTGAAACAAGAACATCACTTCCATGAAAATGAATCTCCATGGTTTTAGTATAAAGTACCATAGAGTAAGGGAATTTTTATGTCAATATTAACCACTTTAGTGCCATGCAGCCAATCCATAAGCTTGATCAACTATATATAGTTCCTGTGGCACTAAAAGCGGTAATATGACCCAGAGGCCTGAAGCAGATGAAAAATGTGATGTACGCAGTCCTTTAGTGTGACAATGAATACTATTGTTTATCAAAATATGGTTTTACATGATCCAGAGTTAAGGATTATAACGTTTTGGAGTTTTGTTTCTCAGTAGTAATAGTCAGAGAGATCTAAGCTACAGCAGAAGCCTATGCATAAGGTAGCTATCCAGTAGCCTTGAGGATTCTGTGAAGCAAGAAGAAACATTCTCTTGTCTCATGTCTGGGGCAACAGCTTTAGGAGTTGATGGAAGAAAAAAAAACCAAACATAAGTGAAACTTTCTGATGACCAAAATGGAACTTTTGCAGCAGCTGTAGCCCAAGGCACCAACTTTGCAGCAAGTTCTCAATGGCAGCCCAACCATTCTTAAATCAAATGGAATACAACCATTTCATATGAACGCATTTACTGAATAATATTGTTAATGGCACAAATGATAAGTTTTTAAAGTTGTTCTACCTTGCAAGGCTTCTCTTGCTAACAAGCTATTAATAATAGCCAAGCAGCCACTTACCAGAAACATCATTCTGTTGTTCCATGTGTGTCCCCATGAAGAAGATAATAAGGAATTTACATTATTGTATGCTACATGGAACATCAGACCTTTCCTTTTTAGGTAGGGCAAACTCTTTCAAATCACCAGGACAAAGTAGGACACAAAGAATTGAACCCATATGCACAAAATACTTCACTCACCCTGCAAGGGCCCAGCAAATTCTCTCATACTGGTCACACACTTCTGGAACCTCAATGGCATATCTTCGATGCAATCTAGATAATCCTCGAGGTAGATCGCAGCCGAAAGCATTTCGTGCAACGGCTCGCTGCTGGGAGCCGCTGCCATTTTTGTCGTTATTGGAGCGATGACCTCAGATTTCAGCAGATGTAAATTTCTTAGCAGAGATGGAGCGATGACCTAAGATCTCAGGAGATCTTCACTTCTTGACACCAAACTTGCAAACGGCCACTGAACGACGAAAAGCGACAAAGGAAACCGCGCTGAGAGGCCTGTACGAAACCATTGCTGTTTATGTGAGTGACGTCATTCCAACATGTCGCTCTGGTATAAGCCTCCGAAAATTTTCGTCAAGTCCCCGACGAAAAGAGTCCAGGTGGGCCTTTTCGGCATGAATAGACATTTAAAATGTCCTTTTAAAATTATGAATATTAAAAGTGTATGCCCTCAGTTCTTTGGCTTAATACTCTTTCTTCCCATCCCCTCAGCAATGGGCCGTGTTTTCACGCTTGTGGTGGCTATACGATGCAAAGTGGCAAAATCCCTTCTACTCTGCCATGAAGATTCAAAAATATCTTTTGGGTTCCCACAAGCCGATCCATCATCCCCTTAGTGAGTCTTTATAGCATGGGGCATTGGGTAGGCTCATGGTGTTCTGAGAGCGTGGAGGGTCAATTACAATTTAGGGTTCGACATTTAGATGGTTTTTCCATTCTCCCTGCAGCTTGGAAATGAGTTATTTTGTGTTTCTGATTTCCAAATCTAATATACCCTCCAACTCTCCCTGTGCAGGTGCAACTGTAGAACTATATAGTTTGCCAGTTTTGCTCAATTTTATGAAGTTCTATCAAGTGTGACAATTAAATTTTTTTGAAACTCTAATTTCAAAATGGCTTAACACCTGTTCTCAATATTTTTAATAGAGCAGATATTATTGTAACCAAAATTTGAACAATTCTGGCACACTTATATGCACCATGTATGTCAGTGAGTCTTATAACATCATTCTAACCAGGAATTTGTTTTGTAAAGTAATGAGCATGAACACCTGAAACAATGTCAGGTACATACAAATAACCTTTTGCTCTACGTATTTAATACTAGCTTGAATGCTAAGTGTGTCTCTGGTGGCCAAGGTGATGGCTGGGATGGGTATTCATTTCATTGCAAGGCCTAGAGACTAATAATGATTTGCCATGTCTTCAATCAGTCATAAATCATTCTCTTGTCTCAAAAAGGTTGCTCTTGTGAAATTAGTATTTTCTGCTTCTCAGGTGATTGTGGAGACCATGTAGTCATCATAAATACAAAAGAGATTGCAATGCCAGCTGAGGAGTGGCGATACAGAGTGTACTTCCACCACACAGGCTATCCTGGAGGGGCCTCTTGGACTCCTGCATATGAACTTCATGAAAAGGATCCTACTATGGTATGCCTGTTATAGGGATGCATACACTAAGATGGAGGTATTAGGCTTATTCTCGTTGTCTGTTGGAAAAATCAGCATTGGGAAGTGTAAGTTTTTTCAGACGAGATTGTATATGGGTACATATCCAAGTCATGAAACAATTAAATCTGGTCTTATGATAAACCATGGTGAACATAGCTACTTCGTTTTTAAAACCAGAAGCAGAATAATGAGGCTTAATAAGTCACTGAAGTTTATGTCTTTTCTCTCATCTCTATATTTTTAAAATTGAATTGTATCAGAGGCCATATTCATGCATTGCTTCCCACTTGTCATTCTTCTGATTCATCTAGACATTAACATTTAAGTTCACCCTTCAGTGCATTCTGAGAATAGGGAAGGGCTTTCAACTGAGTTAAATTAATTGTGGGGGAAATTCCAACAGCCACTTCAGCTCTGATGACTAGCTTTGATGAGTGGATGGATTTTTGGGTTTGACTATCCCAGTAAGCCCACAGGTAAATTCTTAATCCAGACACTTCCCATTATTAATGAGGGAATTTCCATGCACTGATACAGGAAATGAAATGCTTTATCCTCAAGAGTGACTGGAAGTGCAGAGTCCATTGTGTACCAAGATATACTGGGTGAATCATAAGTCCATACTCATAGGTTTATTTATGTTCAAACTGCATGTCATGTAGACATTTACACTTATCAACTCTATGACAAAAACGTTCATGAATGCATTGTAAGACATCTCCTGTAATAGCTGTACTCTATCTACTAATGTTGTATTTAAGGTCTTCATGGGAAAACCTTTTTAAAAACTCCATGAGGAAGGACTTTTCATTCTGTGGATGGCAGTTGAGCATGGGTTATCTAGTCTCATGAATTTCATATTCAAAACCTTTTTCATCTGTTATTTCCAAATTTTTTAAAGACAGCTAGGAGCAGATTTGCTTTTCACTTGATTTCATTCAGAACATGACTTTCCATACTGAATTGTGAAGAATGCCCTGTATCAGTTCTCATAGCTAAAATATATAAGAATTTCCTCAGTGATGTTCAATTGCAGGTGATGTACAAAGCAGTCTATAGAGCTGTGGGAAACAACCTTTTGAGACCTGAGGTCATGCCAAGGCTTCATCTCTTCCATGATGATGTGATATCTGAAGAAATCCTCAAAAATGTCACAGCTCAAATCAGACAGTTGCGACCAGTGCCAAAGAGGCTTGAAGAATATTCAGAAGAGGAACAAGAACAGTTCCCCAAACTCTTTGACTGGCCGAAGGAATATGTGATTCAGTGACCAGTATGTGAGGCAAGATTTGTGGGATTTTCTACTTTATACTTTGTTTGAGAATAGAGTGCCCTGTATGATATTTGAAGGTTCCCATTCTAGCATTTCTGTGTGGTCATTAATCTTCTGGTGAATCTAAATGGGATCACTAAAGACAAAATTTAACTGTCAAAATGATGACTAAAGATATTTCAACATTTTGAAGCCAAAATGACCACGAGTCACAAACATTATCACCCATCAAAGAAAGCTTGGCAGCTGCTGGCATTTTGAGAAACAGCAGCACTTCATGCCCTAGGCAAGTGGAGATAATTCCATTCATCTCTCCATATCCAAAAAAAAAAGAAGCAAATTGAGTCAAAATGAGTTGCACCTTGAGTTTCATTTCAGATTGCACCAAATCCAGAACATCATGTCCTGTCTATCATCCTCAGTATTAACATCTTCTGCCAGTTCCCCATTGCAGAGGAAAATCCCTCCTATTGAGAGATTTCCTAATGGCCTACTGCAGTGCATATCCACAGTGGTTTTAACTTGAGTCAGATGAATTTTCTCTTGATTTAGACACTTGTGCTTGTGATTTTCCTCATGGTTGAGTGTCTGAGTTGAGTAAAAAACACTAGATTGTAGGAGAGTATTGAATCCACATACCCTGATGCAGGATTAAACTTCTCCAGCAATGGCATGTGTTTTATGTTAAGGAAGCAGCCATGTTTGAAGGCCTCCAGAAGTTTGCACAACCCATCCATTTCTTCTGCTGAAGAATTGTAGGACAAACTGTCATCAAGGGTAACAATAGTCCACAGGGTCAAAATTACACCCTCTTGACATTTAATGAGTGGAGAGTGGCCCACATTTGTAAAACCACACTAGCCATTCTTAGATACTAGAGTACACTTGGTGAAAATTTCATTAAATTATTTCAGACTATGCAATCATGTTTTATCCTTGTGATTTATCAATTGCTTCCCAATTAAAAATTCTCCCTGTCATTACCAATGTCAACCATATTCCAGGTAGCTCATGAGGTATCATTGAGAGAAATCTTTATGCCTTTCAATCCTTGCTTCTAGACAGTCTTCAAACATCAAAGGAGACTGGTAATTTTTTTTCTAAACTTGTTTTCTGGCTTTTTTTTTTTCCCATGTCAATGGTGCCTTACTAGTTACCAAGAAAATAGTTAACATTGAAGATGACATGGAAGAATTTTCACTCAATAAACAATAATTGAACAAGGAGGACTTCGAATGCCTTTGTTATTTTTTTTCTACTAGAAGTGCTCTTGTGTATGGATGAAACAACAATATATCATTGCTTGGCAATAAGAGGGTTAAGTATTGATGGTGTGGTTTGCAAGTGTGCTAAATGTCTCTACTTATTAACCCTTTCACTGTTTGCCCAAGTATATATTCGGGTTGTGCACGCTGCTGGTGTAGTGGTAGCCCTTGTATGTACTTGGGCTCTGACCATTCACTGTTTCTAGGTTATTTCACTGCTATTTATGCATATAACTGCCATCTTCAATAGCTTTCATGATATGGGAATTTAAACATAACAAATTGTTTTCAGGTAAGCAGAAATAGTCCCAATTTTTATACACAGGGGATGCAGGAATATTTTTTTGCAGAACAGTGAAAGGGTTAAAGGCTAAAAAGATTTATTTTTGAATGTCCTGTATAATTACCTGATGATAACCAGGTGGGAAAAACTCCTCATCTACTTATCTATCTGTCTATCATCACAAATGTTGCAATTCACCTAAGTCCACTTTTAATATGAGTATTCTCCTAGTTTGTGTAAGTTCCCATGGGACCTTTTTCTCCCATTCCATTACATATCATCAGTGAACGTTTACATCCATGGTAGTGCAACAAGTTTCCTGCATTTCTCATGGGTAGTGGTAACATCTGCAAGACATGAAACTGATCACAAGAAAGGCTTCAAACTATTGAGGATAGAAGGGAAAAGAGAGAAAAAAGCCAAGGTGCAAATGACACGAGGAACACTCGTCAAATATGTTGGGTTCTGTTGAAGATATTGCTCCAATCCTCAAGTCTGATCTTGGGAAGGGTGCCAGACTGAGGGATTACCATCTCAAATGCTGATTCAGGAAGATCCCCAAGATAAACCACACCATAGAACAAGTTCACATGTGCATTGTAGACTCCAACAACGGGTGGTTTGTCCAGAAAGAGCAACATTGGAAGGAATATGTTGGTTGCATACGGGAACCAGTAGATTCGAAATATTTTGCTATCCTCTGCTTCATATTCCCATGGAAGAATTATACCTGCTTCAGACATATTCCATGGGGCTGGCACAGGAATGTCTTGCTCTGGTAGTTGTAGTAGTTCGTGATGTCCCATCTCACAGAAGGGGCTGCTGTTGAAATAGTAGATTTGCTGGAGATCTGATCGAATTGAGAGTGGAAGTCTGTCTTCGTCATCAGTGTCTTCTTCATCGTCCTTGTCCTTGTCTGGTTGTGCTGGGTCTTGGTTTTCAGATTTGCTCTGGTGAAATCTGAATGTTCCCAAGTGGTCACAGTGATGAATTACAGTGGCACTGCAGCTATTTCCAGCACTGCTTTGACATAGGAAGTGCTGTGGGTGGTCATCACATGGAGAAGTCACGTTGCTCAGTGTGCCTGGGGAGGTGAGAGGCACTTGTTGGAAGCCATCATTCAGCAGCAGAATGTCTGAGTTCCTTTGGCTATGTGATAGTGGCTCTCCTATGTGATAAGATAACATGCAGCTGAAGTGATTTCGAGGGTAAACTTCCTCCACTGCTATCTTTGGATGAGCTCATACGAAGGTCATGTGTTACTCTGGTATATGCGCTGCTACTACTTGCTTTTACTGAGTTCAACACTCTACTGATATCTTTGACAACATTGGATGGCTCTTCCTATGCTTTCATGTTGAAGTCAATGAAAAGATGTCAAATTCAAATCATGTCTTCCAAACATTGAAATAAATTGTCTATAACTGCAGCCTCAGGCTTTTACCTTATCCACCCAGTCTTAGTAACATGATGATTGTCTTTCTGATCATTTCAATGTCATAAATTCACCCTTCAGCAAAATGATAGAAGAATGAAAGAATTTGATTGTCATGGGAGTCTCTAGCATCTGCTGAAGATTCCTTTATTGACATTTAATGATGAGTGAATCAAGCATGAAATGTGATTCTAAATGTGGATTTATTGATACAAAGCTGCCCAGGTGGCACTACTTTTATTTAACCCTTTGTGGTCCATTTTATTTGTAACACTATGGAGATTGTTGGACCATGTCTGACAGTAGACCGCAAAGGGTTAAATGAGTCCATGTGGTAAGTTGAGCAATCACTGACTTTCAGTATTGTTACATTTTATCATTGTGTAACTACATACTTTCCACATTCAAGTTGGTTGCATTGACAAAAAATTGGCAATTTAGTTCAAGCAATTTTCAGATGATAAGTAAGACAATACATATGCATTGTCATCATGGCAATGGCTTCCATACCACCAGTAGCCATAATCCACTCCTGTCTGCCATATTTTATTTGCCTATAGACTTGGCACGTGTTGACATTATTCTACCATACTTCTTCTGAAGATAATGTTATGTTGGCTCAAAAGAGAAGACTCAGGACTCACTATAGAGATAAAAAACCATGAGAAACATTGGCTTATTAGTACTTGATAGCATGGGAGAAATCCATGGGCAGACAAACTCATGGACTCACAAAACCAAAATGCTAAAGTATGCTTGTTTTCTTTCCACAATGAGAGATGGAGGGCAGTCAATGGCCAGAGGACTAGCCAATAACAACATAAGTATATAAAAGAAAAACATTGAAATACCTGGTTTTTGACAAACCTGCCCCAATGGTAGAGGTTGAGCTTTCATTTGGGCTGATAAGAAGAGTTTCTCTGCTTGATAGATTTCCAGATGAGTCAGATTGCAGTGGTTCTGGCCAGATGACCCATTGGGTAGGATCAGGAGCCACAGGGACTTGGTTCTCAAATACTGCAAGGCTGGTTCGTACAGAATCCTTACTCCAGCGAAATGCAAGTCTTGCCTGGAGTGGGCGCTCTGAACCAGGAACAAAGAGATCATGAAGACCTCGAATGGCAGCCACAGAATCTGCCTCTGTTGCCATCCTTGATCAAAAAACATGCAAGTCTTACCTCATGATGCAAGAAGCAAAATTTATTGACTGCAGAATGAATATATAAGCAATATATATATATGCATATATAATGCTTATGTAACCAATGAGCAAAGAAATTATTAGATCATATTCTTATATTTCCTTTGCTCTTTGATACTTATATTTCCTAGAGAATCTAATGAAAATAATTATACCTTGCAAATCCAGACCTGCGACTGCTGCCATTGCCATCACGAAGGATGGCAGTAGTGTCAACATGCCCAAAGCAGGAGACCAATGCCTTCAGATGTTCTTCATTCATGTTTGCAGGCAAATTTCTCACATACACATTCTGCTCATCCAGTTCAGGGAATTCTGCCAGCCGTATATGAAATCCCATTCCTCCCAGATGGTGAACCTTACCAAAACATGATATCATGATCAAAACCCTAAAGATACTACAGGTTATTTCCAAGGTCATTTTGCTAGTTATTTCCTGCCACTAGCTTAGGGTGATTTGCATGCCTTTCAAGTGTCTGCCAAAGGAATATAAACAGAAACACACTGCACTTCTTGCAAGATGGGGGTCTTCAAAAAGAACCCAGCCAAATCCCATGCAGTGGGTAGTCACAGGATTCCTTGGAACATTGGTGGCAAGTATACGACCAAAGTACTGCTCATAATAGGCCCACATGTCAATGTCAGACATGGTGGGAATAATGCCCTGCATATAGACCATTGTACCACATGGTCCCTGTGTTACTGAAAAAGGATTGGATTGCTGAGTCCAAGAATTCTCAATGGCATGCCCTTCCCAGGATGCAGGACTAGTAGTTCCACTTGTGGATGAGGACATGGTGGTTCCTATTGCTAGATTAGTACCACTGGTGCATGATGAGAGACTTTCAACAAGTGGAGATTTCTCATAGAGATGGGAATTTTAATTTGAAGAGAGTTGCTTATCTCGTGGGTTGTCAGGGATACAATACAATAATGAAAATGCAGAAAGGTACTAGCATGTGCTATTTCTTATTGACAATGGTTGCAAAAAAGAGCTGGTTTTCCAGATCTTCATAGCATTTCATTATTGCCAGTTGGGATTGGTATTTATTTGGAGGGAAAATGAAGTAGGAGTGGAGCATGAATTAAAAAATGCAGAGGAAATACTGATGCCATGGTGGTTATGTGATTTGCTCTTTCTATGCCATTATAATTTTATTTTGAAATAATATGTGGATTCAGCCATCATCTCAGATGAATAGGAAGATAATGTGGACCTTGTAAATATTTCAGTTGGGTAGTAATGCACCCCAGAACATTTTAAGATCCATTCTACTCCCATGAAGCAGAAGCTTATGACCATCACAACAACTAAATAGGAGTGGCTGTTCTCTTTCCAGCCCTAGGAACTTTTACTCATTTTCTTATGCCTTGTTTAGGCTGTTCTCTTTTGTGATGGGGATGTTTTGAGAAGCATCAAATGTAAAGTACTTTACAAGTCCTACTTTATGCCTGATCATTTTGCTCTCCTAGCTCATATGCTTGCAAAATTTCAAGAGCAAAGAAGTTTCCCATTTTCTGGACCTTAAACATTTTTTGCAACATAAAACACTATTGTTGCATCAGGCATTGTCATCTGCCACAATGCCATCCTTGAGATGCTAAAAGAAGTGCTCTTGTGGATCCAGAACAGATGATCCTTAAGTATCTCCAGCTTATCATCCATGACCAGGACCATCTACTTACATTGTTCTATCTTGGCTTGCCTATCCAAATTGTGAATCAAAAGACTAGAAACAAAAATTTTCCCTTAGAAAAGCAGTTTAGCATTATCTTCCCTATTTGTCTGATTCAAGCCCCATACTAAAAGAGAGATTGGAATTGCAGAAGAGTCCATCAATGAAGAAGACATGAAGTGCAATACAGGGTGGGGCAAAAGTCAGGGAACATAAGAGTTTTGGGGGAATTTAATTTTATTTTCCATCTTACCTGTCACTAATGCCCCCAGCCCTCAACATCTCTTGCATTTATTATTGCAGCTGTATGGACACTAGGGCCAGAAGTACTTTTTGGTCAGCTATTGGTTTGGTTATTGTGCCCATTTCTTTTTTTTTGCATTGAAAGCACTGCTGGTTGCCTGAAATTGCCAAGATTTGCTATAAAATCTGAAATGCAGTAGATCAACAGTCTTCGCCTATTTGAGTGTCTTTCATGGTAATCATATTAGTTTGCTGAAAACTGTTATGTTTTTGCATAAATCATCAACACCACTTTTTAAAATTTATTTAATATACTATTGTTAGGCTATTTCATAACACTCAGTCAAAAATTACTTCTGAATGTTGTCCATCAAATTATGGCAAAATTATACACACTCAAGCATGGAGGTCACTAACATGAACATTGATATGACACATTATCACCAAAATTGCCATACTTTTCACATGTGAGTAATGATCATTCATTTCCAGCCAATTTCAGTGGATGCAGCAGAAGCACTCTTCAATGGACTTTAACTTGTATGCCAAATTGTTGAAAAAGAGATATGGAAATGTGTTGCCATCCATCAGTCACTTTGAAAATTAAATCCTCCAAAAATTCCTATTTCCTGACTTTTGCCCCACCCTGTACAAATGATATGGATGAAATGAATAGCTGTTGCATTTTTGTGAAATAGAAATGAATGAAAGGAAATCTATTGCTGGCATGTCTAAATAGCCCAAAAAAGTGTTTTTAAAATTATCATAAGAGGATGTATGATGGAGATGTGGGTATGTAGATGCATTTTTGGCTTCATTTTCAAATATTAAAATGGCAATGATTGTATCCTCTCCAATAAATGTGCATTGTTGTACATTGATTATGTCAGAGCAGTTGATAACAAGCAGCAATGTATGTCTCCAATGTTTTAATAAAATAATGATTGGTCATATTCCAGCTTTGAAAAATGGTACCCTAAAGCTCCCCTTACAGTCATTTGAGAGCAACTTATTTTTGGTGAAAAACAGGGTTGCTTTTGTTTTTCCAATGAATAATGAGCATTTCAGAGAAAATTAACCTTTGTTCTTGCAAGTTTTTACCCTGTCTGAAATCATTTGTGCATTACATTGAAGTTGAAACATGGTCAAATTCCCCAAACTTACCCTATAAAGTGTACAAGCATAACATTCCATACTATTTCCATTTGGATTCATGAGTATGATTGATGGCTATCTCCTGGAACTTGCAGGACTGGTCTCTTCCATAAGTTTATTTTGGCTGATGCATTATATGGAACTGTTCTCAATTTCTCTCAGTTTTTCTATCCTAAAAGATTCCCTGGGTTCATGATTTTCATTGTTCACCTTTATAAATCTTCCTCTGAATTCTTTTCATTCCCCTCATTATTCAGGCATGGATGGCACTATGCACCTCACAAGCAGCAGTTGAGAATAATATGGAAATGGGTGATTCAATGCTATTTTTTGCTTCGCTGAACTCTCTCAAGCCTGTACTTTGCTCCAACTACCTTCTGGAACTTGACTAAGTCATCACCTTCTCTCTTTCAAACCATAATTATTCCATACAATCAGTGTACCTTGGGAAAGACTTGATTCTTGAGAGTCTGTGTTCACTCCAAGTTTTTTCACCCCTATATCATATAAAAATCCCATGAATTCATGGTGATTGTTTAGTTGCAAGTGAGAATTTTAAGTGAACTTCAACTTACTGATATATTTGTTTAATTATTAATAAATGAGTTAAAGCTATCCTTCTCTTTTACTCAAATCCTATTACATTTGTTTTGTTCTTTACAATTACTACAGGGTGGCCCACAATACCTGCACCCCCTCTATATGACATTTTTAAAATCAATTTTTTTATTTAGATTGTTTAATAATAGCTGATATTTTAAACAAGAAGGAATGTTTATATGTTAGACATGAATGCACAGCTATTCTTTGGAAGATTGTCACAGATGAGGGTGCAGCTTTCTTTGTGAAGAACTGGAAAGTTGCTAGGGTGGGCAGAAGTGACTTCTCGTCTACTTAACAGCCATCCACTGACCATTACTGCTGGCAATCTGCCAAACAATAGCTATACAATTATGTTGAACATGTAAAGGCTCATTTTTGTTCAAAATACCAGCCATGATTGATTGATCTGCAATTTAAAAAATGTGTGTTTAGTGACACTATGTAGCAAAACTATAACATTGAACCTAAGCCAAACAAGTTTGCCAGGGTGGGGGGCAGTATAGGGCAACCCCCAGGAACCCAGTAAATATTGTGGGCCACTCTATACCATCAGCATAATTCTAGTGATAAATTTTGCAAGGATTCAGGGGTTGCACCAGAATGAAGTCAATATAAGGCACTTCCCTAAGTTAAGGACAGTTCTTGCAGGTTGAGACAATGAAGTTAGGAACATTCATGGAGATATGACTGAAGTTAGTTTATTCACAAGTCAAGTAGATTCATTTTGAGAATGTCAGTCATAATGGGATTTGATAAACAATTCACAACACTAAGAAAGGTCATGCTTTGGCATGATCATGGATCAGCAGACGTTTCTCTGGTTCACTTTTGAGGCCCAGTTCTAATCTAGTGATGGTCCATTCATCCTTATAGTCTGGCCTCTCAGCCCAGACATATAATGTTCCTCTGTCCTTGGGTCCTTTGACTGGGATGGCAATTTTAGCCTTGAGACCATTTGCATAGTTGAATTCATCTCTCAGATTCACTCTACCAGACCAAATTGGTTGGTCCATCACTATATTGGCAGACCTGCAAATGCAATCCATTAATAGAATGAATGGGACAACAGGGTGTGGATTGGAGACATAAGTGGTGATTCCACTCACACTGACTCTCGTAGCATCTTCATAGACTTCCTGAAATATTCCTCATTAGAAAACTTCAGTTGAATTCTCCTTTCAAGGTAAAGGCCTGTTGCAATAACTGCCACTGCTCCACCCACAGCCACCCTCTTGAGTACTTGATATGATACCATAGAACCTAACTCACATTGTCCACCTTCAGACTCCAAACAGTGAATGCTGTTTTGGCTCTTCCTTGTAGATTAGATATACTATTACATATGCATACTTCAACAGTTTCACTCCCACTTGGGAAGTGCCATCAGAATATATGAAACTTGTAATTCTCTTGTGTACCAAATTAGTAACATTTATACTACTGTCAGTGCTGACTTGATTGGAAGTTATCAGAAAGCCTATTCTCCAAATTCTTTATGAACATGGTACAGAGTTTCCCCAAGAAATTCCTTTAACAATTCATGGCAAGTTTACTGCCAGGTGGGAGCCTTTCATTATTTTGTACCATGAGAGGTTCAGCAAGTCACCCAGATTACTTGCAATTCAAATATTCAAGTGAAGCTCTCTTGTTTGTGTAGAGTCATCGCTATCAGACACAATGAAGAAGTTCCAAACCATTCAAAATGATTTTATTCAAACTCAAAAATGTAGAAAAATCCTTTCTTGAAAGAATTAACAAAAGAATGATGTTACAACAAAAACTGGCTTCCATAGAAGAGCTCCTGCCTATAATGCAGACATTTTTCCTATAAAAAAAATTAGGATGAAGAAAACACCATGCAGAACAAATGAAAACCTCCAGGGATTCACATCTTGAGAGAGAAAATTCATACTGGTGCATCACAAGGAGAAAAGATCACATTCACTATCACGTGATGAAGAGTTTCTCAATCACGACTATGGGACAGATAAAAGAGGTCAGCCCAGTTCGTTTGATCAAAAGCAGTTTCGATTTTGAAGTACCAATATCACTTTAGGGAATTCAGTTATGTTGTACAGGGGATACATTTTTTGCAGGAGATTCTTCAATGGCAGAGAGATCTAGATCATAGCTAGACATGGAAGTTACCAGTCCTATAGTAGGAACCATAAGTCCACACTTAAAAACCTTATCCTTGTTCAACGACTGCTGCATATGGTGAATCAAATTTAAAAGTTTTTTTTTTGCATTTGAGAGAGGCTTCCTGTACTGCTCTTCATTTGGGATCTTTCAAGTGGTCATGAGATGACAAATGGAGGAGACACACATAGCAACTAGTTTTGCTGCCTCCAATGTTATCCCCTACTGTATTGGGACACCTTGGAATGTTTGGTCATTTTAAATTTATTTTTTCTCTCTCTCAAAAAAAAAAATCAACTCATGAACCACAACATCCTATTCCTGAATCTAATCATTTGTGGGAAACCTGCACATCCTCTCATATCATCCACATACCCTTGTGTAAAGTTGTTCACCATTGAAGATAATAAGAAAAGCACCCATGGAAACTCCAAAAATCAAATTTTAGCAAGTCAATCATTGAACATGTTACCAACATACTTGTTTCTCAATTATGTAGATGTGGGGGTTTTGATGAATCCATGAATAGAAAATACTTTAAAAAAAAAAAAGAAGAAAACCTAGTTCAATGTAATTATGGTTCCCAATATGGACAAGTAAGCCTGCATCTTAGCTCTCATTTTGCCATTTTTAACATTTTTAGTCCCATGACATAGCAAGGAAAAATCAGGGAGGGCATTGAAATTACTGGGACTGAAAGTGTTAACCTTGTTGTGGTCAATGCCCTTGACTGGCCTGTATGCTATCAGCATGCATGTCCAAAATAAATTGGCTTGAAAATTTTAAAGGAAATGAAGAATATAAACAAATTAAATTCTTGTGAAGAATGACTCCTTTCATGACCACAAAAAGGTTAATGAAACCTCAGCCATAATATGAGTAAAAGTTCTATATCATAGAACTCTATGACCACAGTTTTGATTACACTGGAAAAATAGCTGCCGAAATGGTCACCACTGGCTATTAGACAATAATTGAGGAAGCCAAAAAGCTGAGATTACTCTGTCACCACACGTGAAGTGGCAACAGGAACATAGTAACTGACTGCTGCTCCCGTGTTGTCACCAGAGTTTGCTACACCATTCATCAAAATAAAGGATGGAGCAAAGGTTTCTTTGGATGTGCAAGGTGCTGAATTTCCTACATTGACGGCAAACATGGCATCACCTGAGACTGAAGGGATGGAATAAACAACTGCACCCATGTTCCCATCAGTGGACATGTTGAGATTAGGCTGATCTGAAACCACATAGTCTGTGCTTGTCTCTGGGAAGGATGTTGATGAGGAAGTGTCTGAAGGCTTTCCTGCTGTCAACGGTAGAGCAGTAGTGTTCGATGGAGCAATATTCCACTCACCTGAGGCTTCAGATTGCTTTGCATTGTCACAGGATTTCTCTGAAGAACTGTTTATTGGCTTACTGGCATCATCAGAACAAGACTGAGGAGAATGGGAAGGAGCCTGAGAAGCCTTGTGAGGAACTGGAAGACTTACACCATGATTTTTCCTCACATGGATCTGAAGGTTGTCCTTTCTTCGGCATGCATAGTGGCACAGGTGACATTTAAAAGGTTTCTGGTCACTGTGCTTAAGCAAATGATCATTCAGGCGTTTCTTGTCTGCATAGCTCTGTCCACACTTGGGGCATTTGTGAGGCTTGGATCCTTCATGTGCTCGTCGGTGACGTGAGATCCCACTCAAGGTATGAGTACTATGAAACAGAAAGAATGCTTCAACTTCATGTGTGCAAGAATGAACGGGAAAAAACAATTGCACATACCTGAAACCACAGATTTCACAGATGTATGGTCGTTCATGTGTATGCCGAATTCGAACATGCTTCTCCAAGGCAGCCTTCTCGACAGATGAGTAATCACACATTGTGCATTTCCAAGGTTTGTCTGCAGTGTGTTTTCTGAATCGGTGTGTTTTCAGGATATGCTCAGCAACACATGTGAAATCACAGTCAGGGCAGGCAAAGGAATTCTTCAGAAGATTCCCTGACAAGTCACGTTGGTGTTGTGATGCCAGGTGCTTTGTTAAATTGAATTTCTGAATGGTCTTGAATGGACAAAACCCACACTGTCAAACACAAAAAAGGAAAGTACAGAATGCAGACATTAGACAGTGGACCAGATTAAAAGTATCCTTTCAGTTTCAATATCAATATTTATCAGATTAGCTAACCTTGAACAAAACATCCTCTCCCTGATGACTCTTCAGGTGACTGTTGAGCCCTCCTTTGCTTTTGAAAAGCTTCCCACAGTCTTTGCATATGAGGTCTTTCACTGTTTTATGAGTCTGGAGATGCTTCATGTATGAACTCTTCACAGGGGTTGCAGCTGGACAAAGATGACCTTGAGTTGAAAAATAAAAGAGAAAAAATTCACAAGAAATTCCAAGAAATCTCTCAGAAGCAAAGTGAATGGATTTTTTCATACAACGGAAGACATTCCCAATTCCATGTAACCTCCACAGATGGACTTTCATGGCTTCCTTGGAGATGAATGGTTTGCTACATTTGCAGCACTTGTAGAATCTATCACCAAAATGGGTAGATTTGACATGCTGCAATAGGTCAGCATGATTTTGGAATATTTCATTACAATATGTGCATGCTCTCTGTCGTGTTTCATGTACTCTTGCATGATGCTTCTTCAGACATGGGGTCCTAGAGAGAGAGAAAAAAATTTACAATTAGAAATTGAGCCTTTTACAGGACTATCCAGAATTCAATTCAATAAAACTACAATGCATACCTGCAATTGCAGATAGGACAGATCACACCCTTTTCTCCATCAGCAGATGTTGAGGTTCTGCTGTCAGATTCAGCATGATTGGAGCCATTGATATCCTCATGCTTTACTTGATCTTTGGAATCAGATCCTGAGACTCGCACAATTCGTAGTTGCTTTTTGATTGGACTTGTTTTTCTTCTCTTGGCAGTAAATGAAGGCTGAGATGAACGATTTCCACCAGGGCCATATATCTGGCTACCAGAGGGGAGTCCCACAAGATCAGGATTGAGATTCTCAATATTATCATGAGAAAGTGAAGGATCCACTTCAACATCCAATACATTTCCATCCTCTGTAGGATCAGGGAAATCACCAAGACCCACAAAGTCATAATCATCTTCCTCTTCATCTAATCCAACTGTGTAAACAACTCCTGATTTGGCTTTCCTGAATCTATGAAAAGCTGACTCCATGTCAATCATCTCTATGTCTGTCTGTATTGATATATTTGACAGATTTGCTTGCACTTTCCTGGAAGATGAGTTCAGGAGGAGATCTCGCTCCTCTGCATGACCACCTTGATTTTGCATTAGCTTCTGTGCTACATGGTTACTATTCCCATGTCCTGAGCTTCCCTGTGATTGCATCTTATCAACTTTGAAAGTGAAGCTATCTTCATCAGTTTGATACAGAGATTCATTCTGAATCTGTTTTACAATGGAATTGGTTAATTCAGTCAATTCTTCATCAATATTTTTAGATACATCTTCCAAGAAACCTATCTCTGAGCTCTCTTGTGTTGCCTCTCCTTCAAGATAGGCATTCTCCTTCATGCTTTTCTGAAGAGCTTCACTCTGGAGGGGCATTCCAGCAAATGGTACTTGTGACATAGTTCTTTCACATTTGTTGGTCAAACCTGCACCAGAGTTCACAGACACCTGATGTCCTGATTGAAATGTGGAACTTGTGGACTCCTTCTCAGTCTTCTTCCTTTGATTATCATCAAATACTCTTCTTGATAAGTCCCTCTCTTTTCCTGAGGTTGCAGCTGACTCTATTTGATCAGGAGAATTTATGTCTGAAGATGCTGGCCTGTAGGAAATATGGCGCACATGCAATTGTGGCTTTTCATTTTTCGTTGCAATTATTTCTTCTGCATTTCGCTCATATGTTACCTCTTCCGAGGTGTTTTCTGCACCTTCGTGGGCAGTCCCTGGAGGAACAAGCTCAAGCCTTCTCAGAATTTCATTCACTCCCAATGCTTGGGCCAATGTCAGCACATCGGATATTTTGTTGCCAGGAACTTCTGCTCGCCCATGGTACATCAGAATGAGCAAGTGTCTCACAATCTCTACAGTTGACTCTAAACCGAAGCTTTCAAGTCGAATGCTGGAAACATGAGGATGGCTCAAGAGATGGTCCCGGAAAACCTGACTGCATGCAGCCAAGATGACCTTGTGTGTGGCAATCATGTGCGATCCACATACTAAATGAACGTCCACAAAGAACTCCTCAGTTAAAATGGAAAGCAGTTTCTCTCCCATCAAATTTTTGAAGTCCTTGACCATCACCGAGCACACGACCCCGTGGGACGCCATCTTGCTTCCTATACCACAGCTTATGGAGGGTTGTCGTCCAGCTTGGGCAGTCAAGAGGCATTCGCGATATTGTGTCAGTGCGAATCGAGTCGAGCCATCAGAAAAAATTGCGAAGAGAAATTTTAAGTATTACATGCTTGTAATTATACAATAGTAGATAATATCATGAAGTGAAGGTTCCCATAATCTCCATATAAGTCCCTCTTGAAAACAGTCTAACTTATACCAGTATTTCCAATGCTTGTATTCATCCAGCCATTATGGCCGCATACACGTCCTGTTGCATGCCGAGTTTTTGGCTTAGCTGCCGTATGGAAGTATATGTATGGAATTATCTTGCAAAGTGTATTCTTGGCTGTGCTAGGCCTAAGCCTATGACGTGAACACATAGCTCAGGTATTTATGGGCGTAGTTCTAATTAACCAAGTGAGACTTGTGTTTGGTTTTTGAACAATAAATCTTGAAGATTAGGCTTAGTCTCGCCGTAAGTGTTGTGTATTAATGCTATTGATGGCTGACTGACTTTATTTTTCAGGGAAGTGCTAGATCCTTTATACTAATAAATGCCCTGGCGCATCTGATCTGTCCTAGGGCCTAGCATGAAACGTGCAACCAAACTTAAAGGCGAAAGTACTGCAGCAGCAGAGCGTCTAGCTGATTACAAGGGAGAGGTATTGACACATCCTTGCTTATTCGATTATACTGCATGAGGCGTTGGCATATGTTCTTAAGCAGAGCCTTTGCATGTTTTAGCATACACCCAATAGTGACTAGATACATTCAGCCTACATGAGAGAATGAGAGTGTGATCAAGATTTGATTCTGTTCATCTTCACTTAGAGGCAAAATCAAAATTTTCAGTGGTGCTGGCTTGCATCACACATACTTTTATGCATAATTTTCATTATATTTTGTGATAAAGGAATTGGCTTATCATTACTAAAACCTGGTTTGAATATGAACTACTTGGGTTTTAATTTGGTCTATTGGGTGATATTTGTAGAAAACTATAAATGTGTTAAAAGTTGATTGCAGAGTCACAGGCCTGTTCAGAAAAATCAACAATCCCATGTTAGGGTCCTGCAAGTGTTCCATTGGGTGCCATTGGAGGTGGAGCAAGTCCTGGGTCATCTGAAATTGATAGCCCAGATATGCCTGAAGCAGGTTCAACTGAAGATACTCTTACAGGCATGCCTTCATTCATGCATCATGCAGCTAGAGAATCCCTCAAAGTAAGAGTTACAGATGCCTCTCTCATTATCTTGTATATAGAGAGGGAAGGGAGAATCCTCATAAATGGTTTATCAAATAATCCTAATGTGTTCTCAGGTGCCAGTGGCAATTTTGATATCACCAGTGCAAAAATTATTTATTAGGCTGGGGGTACTTCAAGTACCCCTTGCTGTCAAATTTCATCACTGAAGACCTATGTGACATGAGTTAAAAACTCAGGTTTAATTGTGTGACATAATAATATTCTCAAACAAAGGATCTTGCACACATCACAGACAAGAGTCATTGATGAGATGCCTCAGAATGGCATGCTAACATGGTTTACACAAAATTCAACAATCATATTATGGATGGTGTAGAGTTTACATATCTTGTTTAAATTGAGTAGCATTAAAGGAAAAAACTGCTTTTGGACATACCTGATATGTGCTGAATGCAACAACATTTCTTTGGCAATTGCTGAGTATAGTGTTTTTATCTGCAAACCTTTCAAATATACTGGTAATTAAACATAATAATAATAGATAAATGGCTTTCCCTTCTCCAAGCTGATCAAGTTCTGGACATTTGTATTTTCTCATCCACTGAAATTGCATGAAAAGATCCATTCTGTCATAATGTCAACCAGAAATTTAAGTCTCCTGTGTGTGCTCATAGATGGAAATTAATTTTCCTTGTTACTCTACAATGTGCAGACTATTGCAAAAATATCAGTATATTCACTGTTTCCTTGGGTTTCTCAGAAGAGAGAGGTCATTTTACCAAAATTCTACAGTATTAAGGGTGTGATATAGTAGTTCCAAGTTTCCTAAGTAATGGACCACCTGAATGTCTTCTTGCTCTCATGTTGCACAGAAAGCCTTGAAGATTGAGAACAATTTTTTAATTCAGGTGTATGGTACCATCACTGACGTATCAATAATGCAAGGTGTTAGTCTTCTGCAAAGGAACTGCCTGATCTGGGAGGACATTCCAGCACAAGTGTCAGATAAACAACCAGGATTTTAGTCAAGTGTAGTTCAGTGGAGGAAGTGTTGACATAAAAGAATCAAAGGTTCACATGATAAAAATTACTATTTATTCATAGGAGAAGAAACTGTCTAGTGGTTCCCTTGGAGGCTTAGAAGCTCCTAAGCAGAAGCAAGTCACTGTTGTGACTGAAAGCAACAAGCAGAAAACCACAGGAAAGAAGAATAGGCCTATTCAGGCAGAATTGGTGAGTCATTATTCTTTTTCAATGTTTTGGAACATTGATCTGCAGCTCCTCTATGGAATATTAGACCAAACTATATATGTAGATTATAGCTAATTTGGGATTTTCTTTTTCAGGATGTATCAAAAGAGTTTATTCGTTGCAAGGAGGAACTTGCCCATCGTCTTGACCTTAGCAAATCAAGTGTGAGTATGTCCAACATTATTCCCTTATTTTCTTGCTTGTGCATTATTGAAACTTAATCCTTGCTGAACAAATAGACATTAGGTCAGTTACAGAAGATTTTAACTTGTGCTAACAAGACAACTTACCTCTCTAGGTGATTGTTGGCTGAAGTTACCCTCCATCATAGATGTTCATCTACTCTAGACTTTTTAAAATAATGTGCTGAAGTTATAATCTTCATTGTTAGGAAATTTTCCTTAAAAGGGAAAATAGAAAGTAAGTTGCAACAGTTTGCCCAAGTCTGAGTGAATGATTCCTGGTCATTTCCTGAAAGAGTTTTTCAGATTGCATTGATTTGGCCACAGTTCTTGGATATATATAAGAAAAACATCTTGCTGAAAAATTGCAATAACCAGGCATATGAGTGAAAAGGATTTCAAGTCCACTGTGTTCCTGGCATGAGAGCACCCATGATCAGTGGAACTTCAGCACCACACTACAGTCACAGTCTGGACTCTAGCTGGAACTTAGTCTCTTGGGTACAGCTATAAGCTTCTGAGTATTGATAATATAATCCAAAATGTTGTCATATTTGCAGTTTTTTTTTTTTTTACATTACCTTCTGCAAAGAAAATATGGCTTGTTAATTAGAGCATGCTTGAGTTTTATTTTAGACTGTAGAGTCTTATAGATGAAGTTTTAAGTTTTTCCCTATGATCAATGGAGTTGTGCTGCTTGAATTCTGTGGATATCTGTTATTTCTTTTCAGTATGCTTTAGTAATAGTTATTCATGGATGGCTGGTCACTTTGCAGATCTCATTGCTACCTGCAACAGTGAGAGAACTCACCCACCTGACAGAATTTTATCTCTATGGGAACAAGTTGACTACACTTCCTGTGGAGATAGGGAGTCTTGTGAATTTGCAGACTCTGGCTCTCAGTGAAAATTCCCTCACATCCCTTCCAGATTCCTTGGCCTCACTTCAGCATCTGAGGCTGCTGGACTTGCGGCATAATAAACTCAATGAGGTGAGATGATCATCCATTGGTTCAGTAATTATATGGTTTTAATAGTTTTCTTTGTGGTTTGCACCAACATCCCAGGAGTGGCTTTTCAAAACTTTAAAGTCCCAGTGTGCAAGACTCTTTTGAATTTATAATCATGGAGAATATTTTTAGAAAAAATGGCTGTGGGAAACTCCTAGGAAACATTATTTGTCTTGACTTAAGTCAAGGATGCCCAACTGTTCTTATACTGTACACTAAATCATGTAACTAAGCTCCCATAGATTTTTGCATCCCTAGATTCCTCTGTTTGTTCAATCACTTATCTCAGTGAAAAATTGCATATCTCTGAAATGCATAAAATAGAATAACAATGGAACATCTTTGGATTTTTTGTCTTTTATGACTGAAATACATGGATTTGATTTCATTGCAGATTCCTGAAGTTGTGTACAGGTTGACTTCTCTGACAACACTCTTCCTTCGTTTCAATCGTATTCGAGTTATTGGTGATGAAATAAAAAATCTCACTGTGAGTTCCCTTCTCTTTCATTTCCTTTCTTAGCAATTTGATATAAATTTTTCCTTTGATTCAGTGTTGCCATATCTAAAAGCAACTTCTCATTATATAATAGAATCTGACAATGTTGAGCCTGAGGGAAAACAAAATTCGGGAGCTACCTGCTGGGATTGGAAGGCTGACTCACTTGGTGACGTTTGATGTATCCCACAACCACCTGGAACATTTACCCCCTGAGATTGGTCGTTGTGCTCAGCTCTCCACATTGGACCTTCAGCACAATGAGCTGTTGGACATTCCTGACACCATCGGGAACCTCAAGCAGCTAACTCGTCTGGGTCTAAGGTAACATAAGGAGCTATTCATTCTGATGTTTCCAGCGGTGACCAAACTTTCCTTGAATTCAAGGAATGACTTAATTACTGATTTCCTTTTCCTCAAAGGTACAACCGCCTTACAGCAATCCCCAAGACCCTGAGCAACTGTGTTCAGATGGATGAGTTCAACGTTGAAGGCAATGCTATCTCCATTCTTCCAGATGGTCTTCTGGCTAGCCTCAGGAATCTTTCCTCCCTGACACTATCAAGGAATTCCTTCTTGTCATATCCTACAGGTGAAAACCAGGAGACTTCTTTTTTTACATCCACTTGTCTTGCAAGATGTGCCAGATATTTATTGAAAGCTCTATTCATTCCTTTCTAGGAGGACCAGCACAGTTCATAAATGTCCATTCCATTAACATGGAACACAATCAGATTGACAAGATCCCTTATGGAATATTCTCCCGTGCCAAGAATCTAACCAAGCTGAACATGAAGGACAACCTCTTGACATCATTACCTCTTGGTGAGTGTCTTTAAACTTTGCCACTGACTGGTTCTTTATGTGTGCATGATGGAAAAATGTATAATCTTTTGGTGCCCTCCCTGATTGCAGATATCGGTTCATGGGTGAACATGGTTGAGCTAAATTTAGGAACAAACCAATTGACAAAAGTTCCTGATGACATCCAAAATCTTCAGTCCTTGGAGGTCCTTATTCTGTCAAACAACTTGCTCAAGGTATGTTCAACCAACTGTACCCAAAACACTCCTAAGTTGGTTTCCTTCAAACTCTTACTATGGTATACTATGGTTCCTTTCTCTAATATATTTCAGAAACTACCATCAAGTATTGGAAATTTGAGGAAGCTGCGCAACCTTGACCTAGAAGAAAACCGCCTGGAATCTTTGCCAAATGAGATTGGATTCCTTAAAGATCTTCAACGGCTAGTACTTCAATCAAATCAATTGACTTCTCTTCCCAGAGCCATTGGGTGAGCATCTCACATTTTTTCTGATATTATTGGTATTACAGGGTTTCATAAATGTCCTTTAAACATTTTCAAATTTCTAGACACTTGACAAACTTGACGTACCTGAGTGTGGGAGAGAACAACCTGGCCTTCCTCCCTGAGGAGATTGGGACACTCGATAAGTTGGAGTCTCTCTATGTCAATGACAACCCAAACCTCCACTCACTTCCATTTGAGTTGGCCCTTTGCACAAGCCTACAAATCATGAGCATTGAGAATGCTCCTCTTTCACAGATTCCCCCAGAGATTGTTGCAGGTGGTCCATCCCTTGTCATACAGGTGGGTCTTTGTCCTCATTCTCCTTTGGAGTTGACATTATATACTTGATTTTTCAAACAAAAACTGGGATTTTTACTCTCCCTTTCAGTATTTGAAAATGCAAGGACCCTATAGAGCCATGTGAAGAAACTAGGACATTAGTTGGGAGAACTAGAGATGTATCTGGATTCACAGAGAGCACAAAACTTTTTTTTTTTTTTTTACTCTCCTTTGTGAGTCCCAAGATGTGATCACATACACTCATCATGATCTCAACCATGAAATATCTGTGCAAGTATTTGATGTGTGAGGGAAAAGGACTTCTGTTGCATTGTCCAAAAAAAAAGTGCTCCCTCTTGTTTGTTAATCATTGTCAGAAAACTGCCGTTTGTTGTTGTGTCTGTTTTGCTCCTGCTGTGAGGGTGCCACCAATGTGATATCACATATTCCTTCTTCAGTGTGCTCCTCTTCCCTTCCCTCTTTCTCCCCCCCCCCCCTTCCCAGTTTCCTTCACTTCATGATCATTACAATTAGGCTTAAATTCTCAGTGCAGCATGCCTTTATCCCATGCAGAAGTACTTCATCAGAAATTTGCTATCAATAGGGTTTTTAATCATCAGTGGCATTTCACCAATTAGTTGCTCTACTTTGACTTGAAGTTTTATCTCCTTTTATACTTTCATTTTGCATTTTCCTAGTTGGCATCTCAATCATACCATGGCACACTGCTGTGAATTGCTTTCTAACTGAAGGTATGATTCAACATTTCAGCATGTTTTCATAACATATGTTGAAACCAGAAAAAATTATCTTTTCTCACTGGTAAAGAAGTAAGACTAGTTTACAATGAAAATTTGTATGCAAAAAAAAAAAACAACAAAGACTAACATAGATGGCTTTGACAAGCACTGTGGACTACCAAGCTCTACAATCTCATCCAGATGAGAAGCAGTGCCAAGTGGAGAGGGTCTGATCAGATCCAAATTGAAAATCCCATTCCTGGACCAAATTTTAGCACTTAGATCCAAGTCACATGTCAATTTTTGTGCTCAAGCTTAGCTAGCTTAATGCTGGTTTGGTATAAAATAGGTCTTAGTAGGGTTATCTGCTGTTGTTCATGGGAACATACAGAATATATTCATGATTGGTAAAATAAAATAGGCATTAAACTCAGTTGTTTACATTAGGGATGTTTTTGGTTAGTAACTTCCTTAGCAAAGAATTTCTTTTTATGATGAGGTTATATAAGCTGCAGATTTATGGAAATTTTAATGCAGTTGCTGTTTTTTTCCATTGCATGACACATCTCAAAGGTATAATGAATCATTGGACCTTGCTCAAAATAGCATGATGGCAGTTTTGTGTTTATTCTCATTACCATTAAGTTGAACAAGGGGTTCGTATTCTCTTGGACTTCCATCCTGCAATTTGGCATTGAATTAAGTAGGTCAGTTTTAACTTCATCCAGAACACTGAACATTTTGAGGTTGTGTGGTGGCTTTTCCTACAAAGTCCTCTAGAATCTTTAGAATATTTAAGGGTTTTGAAGGTCAATTTGAAACTGCTACATTCACTCACTCTACTTTCTTGATGAGAAAATGACTTATTGCTGACCTCAGGTTTGAAATACTCCAGGTAGCACCAACATGGTTGGACCAACATGGAAATGTGGGTTCAATGTTAACCCTATGATGACCCAATATTTCGTGCTACTAGGAACAGTGCCCATGCAGTATCTGTTACTGATGAATTTTGCATGAAGTTGCTGTTTTTGCTTATCTGGAATCTAGTCAACCTCATTTGGTTTCCCTGATGGCAATTTTGTGTCTTTCTCCCTATCGTTTGATGTGGATGATGCCATCATCCATAAGGTGTTCTCTTGTCTTCTGCCATGGACAACTCATGATTCCCTTTGTTGTGAAGTTGGAGGATGTCATATTATTTGAGAAGTTACAATAAATTCCTGATTACATATATCTGCTTTTTGTCACAGTGAAGCAAACCTGATGATATTCAGCTGCCCATGTGTGAGGGCATGCCTGAGGCATCCTGATGCCTTCATCAAATACAGCTCATGATTCTCATGTTTCCTTCTAGGAAGTCAATGAATGGTATTGCAGTGAATGGTGTCTGAGTATATGTTCATTAAACAGTGTTGTTTCTCCTCTGTAGATTCTTGCATGAATTGAACTGCAAGATGGTGAAACTAACACCAGAGCTAATCCAGCAGTCTCTTCAGTACCTGAATCCCCTTCGTGACCGTGAATTAGATCTCCGGGGTAAGATGTTTCCTCATATGAGACAGTTAAAACTGAAATGTTCTCTGCTTCATGCCTTTATCTTCCTCTCTTTTTCAGGGTACAAAATACCAGTTATAGAAAACCTGGGAGCTACCTTGGTGAGAGGTCTTATTTATTTATTTACAGCTGTAGGATTGACATTTTTAACTGTAATGCTTGCTAATGTTGCATCTCTTGTTGGTTGGATATTTTGATGGTTATTTTTTTAATGCATTGGTGCTATTTAATTTCATAAAATGCAGAGTAATTATAAGTCAAAGTGATTCATCAAAAACCAATCTCATCACTGAGACTGACTGCCATTTGCCATGTTGGAATGTTGGAGTATACTGAAGTAGAGCACATAGCAAGGAGCTGAAAGTAGATGGCTTGTTCTACAATTTTTATATTTAAACTTTGAAATGCTGGTGCATTGGAGGAAATTCTTTTAAATTTTGCATAAGTTTTCTGCATTCGAGATGTAATATGCAGGAAAACATGGGACTTGCTCAATATGGGATGGGGATATTTATTTTTAAACAAGGGTGTATTATTTTCTGAGATGCAGTGTGATGCAGTGATACTTCTTATAACTTATTTTCCATCATTCTGAAGTATGTTTGTAACAACTTCTCAACCCTATCTCTGAAAGTTAGCAATGTAGTGGCCCTCAGATGAAGCAATATGGTTAATATACCTAATGACATTGCTCATGAGCTAAGAGATGAGATTTATGTCATAAACACTGGGTTTAACACATGGCTCCCATTAAATCCACTACCTATGAGGGTGAATCAAGAGGAACATGTAAAAGCTTTTAAATAATGGAGTCACTCCAAATGTAAGCCAAAATGCTTATATACAATTTTATCCAGCATTTTGGCTTATATTTGGAGTGACTCCATTATGCTTTGCCTTGCTTGAAACCACTTGCCATTGAAAGGAATAAGGAGAAGCAAATGATTCAGAAACTGAGAGTCTGCATTAGCTTTTCCATTGATGGTGACAACTGGAGTGTGTTCAGGGAAAGTTGTAGTAGTATGAGGCATGGCCATAATTCCCTTCCCTAGTTTTGAGTATATATGAATAGAAAATCCAAAGGAACTATTTTGTCACCAGTGCCATTTATAGATGTCACACCTGTGATATGTATTACCCAGTAACTCCTTCATGGTTCTTGGATGTGCTTTTGAGTAAATTGGTTGGGATATTTTTCAGGACCAGTTCGACACAATTGACTTCTCTGACAATGAGATTCGTAAGCTAGATGGCTTCCCACATCTCAAAAGACTGAAGTGCCTCCTCTTCAACAACAACCGCATTGTGTGAGTCTATTTGACAGTCCCTATTCCTTATCTTTTTTTATACAAAAACAAGGGCTACTGTCCAAGTTATTGGAAGAAATTTGTGGGCTGCAGTCGAGATCCAAGTCATGAAACACTTTTGACTATAGAAAAAAGTAAATTATCTTTTTCCAAAGATAGGGAAGAAAACCATTGTGAATTTCACCTCTCTCTTATAATACTTGCTGGAAGATCTCATCAATAGCAGTCCTACTGGTTGGTCAGTTGATCAAGAGAAATGAATTAGAGTGTGTGTACTAGTGGAGCTTCATAATGCCATGAATTTTTTTATTGTCCATTCATGGTTAGGGTAGTGGTCCAAGGAGAACCAGATAAAGCAGATAGAAAGTCTGCCAGAAAACTTTTTTACTGTATCATTTGTGTTTCTCAGACTTCAATTTCTGAGAAATTGCATACATGTTAATTGTGTAGATTTGTGATCTTTGCCATAATATGATTTAAAAAATTCATTGAACACATTTTGCATGAAAATGAAGGAAATTCTTTATTGGCACTAGGCGGCTTGGGGAAGGATTGGAAGAGTGTCTCCCAGCATTGGACTCTCTGATCTTAACCAACAACCTCATGCAGGAACTTGGAGATTTAGATCCACTAGCATCCTTAAAAACACTTGCTCACCTCAGCCTCCTCCACAACCCTGTCTCCACCAAACCTCATTATCGGTATGGTGACTTAATTATGTGCAGTCCGAAATTCCATAATTCCATGATGACCAATGGTTGCCACTAACTGCTTCCTCTTTTTTATAAACCAAGGGAATATGTTATCTACAAGATCCCACAAGTTCGAGTTCTTGACTTCAGGCGAGTGAAGGGCAAGGTGAGGATTTTCTCTTGAATTCTAGCTCTCTTTGATGGATTTCTAGTTCTTCTCACCCCTGTGTATCTGCTGTTTTGTTCCAAGGAGCGGCTGAAGGCAGCTGAATTGTTCAAGAGCACCAGGGGGAAGGAACTGCAGAAGAAAATTGTGAAAAAGACTAAAACATTCACTCCTGGAGCTGAAATCAAGGAGCAGCCTCCCAAAACTACTGGTAAGAATTTACCCTTTTCATGTGATATTTGTTGAGTGAACTAACCAAGGAGCTCATGCATGGATGCCCCTTTGTATTCAATAGGTCATACAGAGGAAGAGATCAAGGCCATCAAGGAAGCCATTGCCAAAGCAACATCCCTAGAGGAGATGGAACGACTGTCCACTCTCCTGCGACAGGGACAGGTTCCCAAACAGGGCGAGAATCAAGCTGGTGTCAATGGTAAGTTCTTCTTTGTCCCTTGTTGAAGCCCCATTTTCATTTTAAAAATTATAGAGATCGGAACTACCTGCAGTCATCTCTCATGTATGATAATGTCCTCTTGGTGAAGTTGAATAAATTCAGATACATATTTAGCTGCCTTGAGAATGATGGCTGCAGGTCACATTTATGACCTTTAAAGTTTTGTTTGTCTTGTCAGATTAACTACCTGCATATTTTAAAACTTTTATGCACAGTGCAAATTGGCAAAATTAAAAATTGTCTGAAAACCAGTTCTAAGATGCCAGTGTGAAAAATAAAAAAAATAATTAGTAAGCAAAGTGAGTTGATTATACTTATTAATTTGGTTCTCTTTAAAAAATTGCCCTTTTCCTGAGACATGAAGAAAGGGTCAGGTAAGTCACCTTCAAATTTGTGCAAGTTTTGGATGCTTCACTGATGCACTATCATCAGTTAGCACATTTGCTCCTGACTAGTGATTTTACCATGAGTTTTTTTGCACACGTGCATCATCAGCAGCAAACGTATTGAACTTATTGCAGCACAAGTGTAACCCTTTAGCACTAAGTAGTTCACAGTCTGCATCAAAACTTGCTTGAGGTATCTTTTACAGTGTTGTTTCTGGTTGTTACCAATAGAACTATGGAGCTCTTAGTGATCATGAAATTGAAGCACTTTGCCCAAGAGACTGAGCACTTCATGTACTAGGGTGTCTGTCTACCCCAGTCTAGGAAAGCCCTTGCGAACCTGTGAACGAAGTTCATGGGAACAGACGTGGGCGGGCGGACCGCTTAGTCCGCTTGCATATCCTTCCCGGGAAATTCCAATTTGTCGCCTCAGGTTCACGGGGAAAATGTATGTTTATGGTGGTCTACCCTCAGAAACAGTACTTTGCCAATAACTTCAGGAGTCACGACATTGCAATGAGTATTTACTAATGGCTCTGAGCAATGCAAGATTTGGAAATATTTTTGAGGGGACAGACATATCAGAATATGAAGTGCTCAATCTCTTAGGTGATATGCTCCATATTCATATTACCAAGACCACAAAAGTTCTGTTAGTGGTATCAGTATATGACTTGTCAACTGTAGTCACTTTTTGGAAATTATTGAGCCAGTGTAAGTGCTCTTACCATTTTCCTCAATTAGATTCAGTTACAAACAAGAATTGCTTCTGAAGGGATCTTTATTTGATACCTATCATGAGAAGAGATCAGAATCAATTTGTTTAGACTCTCCATTGCAGACCTGAGCCAATTGCCCTCATTTTCTTTTTCTTATCCTTGCCTCAAATTATCCTTTCATTCTGAGGAAAACAAGAATGAAGGCTAGCTCACTAGCTGCTCTTGTTCTTTTTACAGGATCCCAAGATGAAGAAATGGAATGAGCCCAAGTCCCATCTTTGTCATCATTCAAAAGTACCAAGGACTTTGCACTTTATGCATTCACAGCATGAAGCAGCCTGCCATGGAGGTAGGCTGGGGTTATGTTTGTGGTTGTGTCACTTTTCTGTTAGATTTTGAGCTACTTGAGAACTGATACTACTACGCTCAAAATTTTTTGAGTTCCTTGGGAATAAAATCAGTCAACTTGGGTTTTTTGTAACACATGAAGAGTTTTTTGAGTCTTCCCTCAGAGACCCTGTCGTTCCTGGATGGGGTGAGGATTGCCATCATGAAATCTGAAAGTTTCTTGGCCGAGAAGAGAAACTAGAAGACATCCACAACATCTCACATTAGTTCTCATATGGATTTCAATATTGTGTTGAAGGCTGTAAAACAGAATGAATTGGAACACAATAGGCCATATTGTTCACAGCAGTTGCAAAAGGCTATTGTGAATGGCATCTTTACCACCAGTGATCATCTTCCAAGCATTCCAAAAAAAATTATTTTCATTCCAGAAGTCTTTCATTTCCTAGATTTTTCTTGCCAATGAAGTATCTGAGTATGGATCTATGATAATAATACAGAAACTACCAAATTTATTTTAAAATTGAAATATGTAGGATGAAAAGTGACATATAACATACAAACTACAAATATTACATTGCTATTTTTATAGCTGGCATCTATCATATGGCATTATGTGTATTCGTATTAATGCCTGTCTTGTTCTCATGCTATTGTAAAAATTTAAGAGGAACAAAGTAAGGTAATAATATAAATGGAACAAAAGGAATGAAATTTGAATTGGAACACTAGCCATTTAATTTCCCAGTCTTACATTTATTGTACACTGAACTTTTTCTTCCCTTTCATTTTTATTCATGAGACTTTAATGAATAGTTGCCTATTGAAGCTCATGAGTTTTTCCTGATCACTTTCACTAAATGTGACCCTAACTTCATCATGGTATACCTGTATGTGGAAAAAAGTACCATAACTATTATTGGAAAGTAATTTCACTCTTTTATACACCACTGAATACTACTCTTCCCTGGATTATAGAAACTATTAGATACTTTACTTTTCTGACATTCACTGCCATGTTGGGAAAAAAAAGTATGCATGTTATTCTGTAGAGGAAGAATAGCAAGAATAGGCCAGGAGGTGAAAATTCTGTCTTGCATCATCATCTTCATGTCCTCACTCCAGGTATGCATACATGTAGTCACCATGAAGGGCATTGGTTTTGCTTAATCATGTTCATTTCTCTTTGCAATCAGCTTGAAAGTGATTTCAGTCAGGCAATTCTTTTAACGTAATATAAAATCTTGCAGACTTTAAAATTGCAACATGGGTGAAATATTGAATGGACTAAAAACTGGTTGTATCAACTTTTTCTATATTGCTCCCACTGTCCCTCTGCTTCCCTCTTACAACTCGTATTTTTGCTACTACACCAAACTTGATTTCCACACTTTCTACAGTTGTGTTACTAATTATAATTGTCAAATGGCATAACCTTTCAAAATCTCCATTAAAAACTAATCTTTATGGGGGATTGATTAACATTGCAATTCCCCTTTTTTTAAGTTTATGATGCCTTCTCACATTATACAATATGAATTCATCAATTGCAGCTTTTATCTACTATTCCATATTCACCTTTGAAAGAACTGTTCTTCATGAATAGGAATCGCTGGATGTGCTAGGGTGCAGAAACTCCAAAAACCAAGTCTCTCATCTATGTCTTCATACCATTTGCTTAAGGTAAGAAAGGATTCAAACTGGATATTCTTTTTTGAGGGCATGAATCAAGGCTGCATTGTATGCAATATTAGAAGGGTAGGAACACCGTGGGAAGGTGGTAGGAACAGAAAACTTAAGCACAATGAAAATTAATTTTTTGGGAAGAAAGCAAAAAAGCAGCAGTAATTGAGTACCCCTTAATAATTGAGCTGGGAAAGTGGACTGTGGGTGTTGAGGGGGCAGCAGGCACTGCTATACTGTAGCATCATCCATGTGCCTTGTCTACACCATCACCTTGCAATTACCCTGTTGTGGCTGCCAATGTCATAAACCTATCGTTACTGGTGAAAGAGCTTTGATGATGAAACCCAACAAGTCGTTGGTAGTTGGGCTAACCACATATGAATAGAAATAAATGGTCATTAAGGATCAGCTTTGCCACCTGGACAGTCATACCTGAAAGAAGTTATATAATTGCCAAAAGACTGAGTCCTTCATGGTAATGTGTTAGTAATGGAATCTGCCTTTGTAATCAGTTATCCTTGAACATCTGGATCCTCTAATCTCATGATGGTCATAGTGCACTTCTTATAATAATTTAAATCATTTCCACTCCTTTAACCCTCATCCGGGCAAGCTTTTTTACAACCTATTCCGGGCAAGGTGAGTCTGTCAGACTCATGTAAAATAAGGCCATTTGCTGCAGTTACGGTATGTATTCTTATAAATAACAGTACTGTAACTAAAATAATACAGACAATTTATTCAATGGTCCTGATAGTTTAAAAAAATAATGACAGTAATAGACCGAAATATGTCGTAGTGACTCACCTTGCCCGGGTTAGGGTTAATGTAGGATGTAGGGCAATAGTCCAACTATAGTTTGAGGCTGCATTGTCGGACAAGGGCCTTTACACTGTATTCTATTTAGGTGGAGGGGGGGAAAAGTATTTAATTTGATTTAACCCTTTTATGGGGCATAGATATCATACTTCCCACCTAATTTGCATATAATTTTTGACCAATAAAAATACGAAATCTGTTTCCTGTGTAATTCATTTGATGAGGGAAAATGCATGATGTGACAACTTTCTCTGGTAAAAATAGCCCACCAAAGTGTTATATTGACACGTGTGGAAAATGTTGCAGCTGAAACTTTCTTTCACAGAGCAGGGAGACTCAGCAGCTTGACACTGAAGCCACCGGCTGAGATCATAGAGTACCCTATGGGAGTCAAGCCAGCAAACAACCGCTTCTTCATTTCTCCTTGCAACTGTCTCTGAAGTTGTTTGTGATGATGTATTGATACAAAAGCAATGCAATTTGATTTTTTTCAATATCCCCCTTCATCTTTTTTTAATCATCATCTCAGGAGTGAGGACATAATATATTGCTAAGGTGAATCAAATTTTGCTGAAGAAGGGAGAACTGGGAACTTGAGACCATTGGGAATAAATTGAGCTGACTGGAAGCTATAAGAAACAAGTTGGGCAAGCCCAGTCCAGTAGTGGGCCTCCTTTCAGTTAAGGAAACCCTCATTTTGTCACCTAATTGCACAAAATGATGTCTTTTTCCAGTCTTCAACATCAAAAACCTCATTTCTCATTTATATTTGGTAAAAAAAAATAGACAAACGGTGCCCATGAAACAATGATGGGATGCTGGAGGGCTGTGGGTGGTTGGATCCATCTGCCACAAAGGTTGGTAGGGAACTGACAGCTCTGGATGCTGACATGGCGCCGCACTCGAAGCCTGGGTCGTACGTGCATGCGCATTGTGATCTACATCCAGAAGGGCTCATAGATACTCATGGCTTCCCCTCCATTAGCAAATTTCAAATCCAAAATTTGCAATAAACATGCCAATTTTGGCGCAAATTCACCACAAAACAAACTCAGCCTGTATCTTGTTCATATCTACCAGCTTGCCAATTTTCGCATTTATCAGGCCAATATTTTTTTAGTTATTGCCAGACAACCAAAGTGTGACACGCGGACAGACAGGACGGGACTATAAGTGGTCTCTTTCCTTTCAGGAAAGGAGGTCCACTAAAAAGGGCTTCTCCCAGACCAATTTAATAATCATTGATAGAACTTCAGGCAAAAAGTGCCTGATTTGGTGACAAGTTTTGTTTTAATTCAATACCAGCGCTGTACATAAAGAAAGCCATTTTAATTCCCATTGATAATTGTGTCCTAAACTAAGAACTGCAATGAAACTCAAGATTACAGATTCACAGTGATAAGTTAATTACTTTTGCAAAAAATTATGCTAAGTACTTCAAGTGAGACATAATCACTTGAAGACCTTGAATTGAAGAAAGTATTAAGCACATATTGCACATTTTCAATTCCTATTCCTAGGTACTGCCAATTGCTGTCTCTATACCTCTGCCACAAGTAGGTATGGAGAAAATATTGTGACTCAAAAACATCTCAACCCTCAGGTTGTTTGGAGTTGTTGGGCAGAGTGAGATGAGGTATACAGTATAACGTATGTTCATTAAGTTTTAGATATGAACGATTGAGATTTGCTTCAAGGAAAGCTCTTGTGCCAGTGCATGGTCTTGCTAGTTTCCAGGTAGAAAAAAAGAACATCTGCTTGGCTTGACCTTATAAATGGCTCCCCTCTACCCATTGTGCCACAAGAAATGGGTTTGGAATTTGCTAAACATAATGGAAGTTCCCTTTCCCATACCATTCAATGGTAACACTATGATTCTTTTCTATATTGGCCTCCAACTGCTTTTGATTTGTGACATTTAAAGATAAATTTAGATGTACTATCTGTGCAAGAAGTTATGGGATTGGAGGACAATCTATCCTGAATAACTGTCATGAGATAGTCTTGAGATATTTTGGAAGTCTCACTATCTCTACATTATTCACTATTAGTTGAATTTCCCAAATCCAGCTGATCAAATCGGTCATAAGCCCCATATCGATGCAGAATTAGAGCCACAGCTGTTCAGAGCCTACCCTTCAATATCCTGCAAGTTATTATTTTGCGCTTCATGGTTTCAAAATATTCCACAAGAACTTAGTTTTTTTGTGATCCCGAAAATCAAAATGTTCGTCAGGTATTGTATGCAAAAATTTTTATTGGGGTAAGGTCCTCACCCATTTACTTAGGATAATACATTCAGCAATCTCCGGTACTTCTTTTCTTAAAAACTAAACCCTGCTTCATACCATGCCAACAGCTAACATAAGTTGGAAGCCTTTTGGGCGAGTTGAGATGCGGAGGAGCGTGCCGTCGCGTTACCTTTAATCTCTACTCTACTCTACTCTATACCCACAATTAATTCAAAGCATGCGCAATTGAAGTTCCCCATGCTTTCGTGCAGAATTGGAACACCAAGACCGAAGTGCATGAGGAACCAGCCAACGAGGAGACTTTCCTTCAGCCAAAACTGTATCGCTCTAATATTGGTAGCATGATAGGAATTTTAAATGAAAATTATCTAACGCACATTCTCTTTATGAGAATAAATAAATGATAATAATAATATAGAAGGCACATGGAATGAAAAAATGAAGAGCAAGGAAATGCACAGCTGAGCCTTTGATGGCGCGGGTACTCCTCCCGAGGATCCAATCACTATCGAGGAGTAATGATTAGTACAGCGGAAGGAGAAGGAGCAGACCAGTTTCTGGATGAACCCATAATTTTCAAGAACAACCGTAAAGAGACCGGGTCATGGAGATGAGGCTCTCTCAATCAGCAGGCGGTCTGACCACTTATCCAACGGTACTCCACTAGCAAGAGAGCACTTTCAAAATGAGATTTTCCAAAATTAATACTTCCCACTCTATTGTCCTTGGATTGTACTGAATAACCGTGACTTTGACTACGGCTTTTTTTTAGCTCTTCGATCACAGTCGGCAGACCCGTTAAGAAGTAGGAGCAGCAGCCTCCCCTCCAGCCCCCTTCTTTTTCTCCCTGGCAAAGGGAAGAAAAAAAATCGTGAACAGCGAGAGACGTCCGGAAAACAGCAAAGTGCGAGGAAAGCCACCGACCACATGGGTTTGAACTCGCTGGTCATCCCGACGTCCAGGTAGACCTGGAGGACGTAGGGCACGAGCAGGGGGTGGGCGAGCAGCTCCTCGGCTGAGGGGCGGCATTCCGGCTCTTGCTGAAGGCACTCGTGGACCAAGGACTTGAGATGCGGGGAGTACTTGCTGGGGATCGGTGCCACCGTCCCCTGCGTGATCTTGTACAGCAGGGCCGGCATGGCCTGTGGGGGCAGATCGAACCGGTTGGTGGTCCTTTCTGGGGGGAGGGGGATTGGGCACTCGCCGAGGAAAAGATGGAACATTTTCCGGCCCCCGTGGAAAAGCAGGAAAATGCTTCTATGTAGTGAAATCCGATGATAAACATTTTCAACTATTTTTACTTTCGCCATTCTTTACTTATCTCGACAGTTGAGGGGCACTCATATATCACTCACTCAACATTATTTGAAACGATTGCCTTTTGCAATCCAGTCTCCTCGAATACTTGAACTTTAATGAAGATGTAGTTCGTGCCCTTCCATGAGTTGCTTTATAAAGTTACACGCCTTCACGTACAAAAAATATACGTGTCAACGCAACCGAACCGGACAGTACGTGTGGGAGGTTAAAAAAAAACTTCTAAGCCTGAGGCACTTCCAGGTGCAATACATCATTATTCTCATGAGAAGACAGATGTCTTCGATGGTGACTGACAAAATATAATATTATTTGTCGATTAAATATTGCGTCTGTGAATTTTTTTCAATGCGTCACCAAAGGGTATAAAAATTGAGATGAAAGATGTTATTAATTTTCTAACCTCTAAGGCAGGAGTGCTCAAAGTTTTGGGTTATGGGGGTCGCATAATTAGAAACTTTTTTTTTCTGCATGGTAAATATTACGCCAAAAAAAAATCGCTTCCCTAGTTTTGACCGAGTTCAGCATGCTGTTTAGCCGGAGTGGGCCTCATTTTTCTTGCCTCTCATCATCCAGCGACGGTGGAAATCGAAACTAATGAAGAGATAGGAGTTTTTGACCCGATTCTGAACCAAACTGCCAGGTCCGCCTGGACTGCCAGGACTGTCGAACTATCAGCGATCAGCTCAATCTTGGATGGTACAATAGAGACGAATTCCAAAGGTTTCCTCTTTCCGCAGACACCGTCGCCGACTTGGTGCCGACAATGGAGCAGCGGCTGGCACACTCCTCATTATTCTCCTTGCAAGGGCTCCCATACCGCCGTTAAACGTGTTTAAGCCGTGGATAAACGTGTTCACGAAACTAATATGATTTTCGGTGGGGCATGTCAGAGAAAAACACTTTCTTAAACATATTCATTACATGTTAGTAAACGTGTTCATCCCGTCCTTAAACTAATCAGATTCCTCCATCGGTGCATGTCATCCAAAGTATTCGTGAGTCCACTCGTCTTGAAATGTGCGATTTCCTTCATCGATACGAGGTTTTCTACGCACTGCTGACATGGCCACAGAAAAATAGAATCCAAAATGTAACTCGCAAATCCATGCTGTCGCCTGGTATGGAGCCACGACTCGACTTATGATCCCAGTCCACGTGGAACGAACCAGTTTCGACAATATCGTCCCTGCTTATTTGTCCTTCGAGAGACGGGTGACATACAAACCCTACGGAATTGAGGCTAGTGCAATCAAGTCCACGGTTTTGCTCCTATTCTCCCTTCGCCCAACCCAGATGGGATTGTAAAAATAGATAGGGATGTTAGAAGACGCCATGAAATGTTATACATCATCTTCATGCGAATTTCCTACTGCGGCATATTTGCGATGTCGCGGTGGTCACATGGAGGAATCTGTACGAATTTATCAGAGAAATTTGTGAGTGAAAAAAATGCAAATAAGCTCCTTGGAATGATGCATGCAACGCATATTTTCAGCAGAACCTGGCAGCCCTGCGGATTCTCTCGCCCTCACAGATGGCGCCTGAATATCAAGTCCAGTTAAGCGCCCCACGGTCACCCTCAATAAAAGTGTTAGGATGATTCCATATCCCAGAATGTTGGCCGGGAATAGACTGTACTTACACGCGAGTGAATTTAAACCTAGTCAGGCTGTACTTCGTTCATTCCGCAGCACATAAAATCATTCACTTACATCACTTGCATGTAATTTTTTTTTCCTCCAAAACTCCTCGCGGTCTGCACAAAAGTCCTTTGCGGGCCGCACTTCGGGCGCCCCTTCTCGATCTTCCCGCAGATCTTTCATAGAAGTATTCAGTAGGACTCTATCTTCTCAGCTGCTGAAAGATCCGCTGGTAGATCGACTTCTCAGAGATCAGAAAATTAATCACAGCATTCGCCTCAATTTTAATACCCCTTCAACTGACCCTTTGCTAGCACATTGAACAATTTTCTTAGACGCTATCTTAAGTCGACAAATATGATGAAATTTAGCCAGTCTCTACGAAAAGCATCTGTCTTCTTACGAGAAGAGTAAAAAAATAGGCGTATTGCAACTGGAAGTGCCTCAGACTTTGAACTTTTTAAACCCCTCACATGGATCTTCTGCACGTTTCCCACATAAAAAGTACTTTATCTGTGGAGTCCTATCTTGAGTTCGTCCCCGTCCCCGACCCCAACTCGAGATATCAACACGGACAGAAATGCCTCTTGACGTCCCTATTAAAAACCTTCGACCTCGAAAGCCTCAGATGATTTTAGCTTTCGAAGTAGAGGTGGTACAAACGCAAGTGATTAGGAATTTCCCTTCGGCTTCTGAAATCGACAAAATTAAAATCTTCTCCTCCATCGCTTTCCATTCTTGATGAAATCGAAAGAAACAAAAATTTGCGACTGTTGAAAAAAAAAAGTGGAATGGGGCACCTCTAAGGAACGAAAAGCTGGCCATAGGTAGTGCTACCTCGAATTGCAGCTGCACGTCTGCTTATCGCATCTCCTGCGTCAGGTGTCAACTTTTCCACGCGTCTCGACTCGCCCGGAAAACATTCCACCTTTCCCCCCCGCAAAAAAAAGGTGGCTCACGTGGGCAGCGAAGGCCTGCTTCAACGACGCCATCTCGTACAGCATACATCCCAGGGCCCAGACGTCCGACTTCTGGTTGTACGGCTTCTCCTGGCACAGCTCTGGGGACATGTACGGCAGGGTGCCCACCACCGTCAGCGCCTTGCTCCGCCTTCCTTGCCGAACCCACACCGTTCATCACACATCGTTCGTCGTTTCCGACCGAAAATGGCACGGACGCGGAATGGCGAGGTCCGAGCGAAAAAGCCAAGGTCTCTTTCACCGACGCAACGAAGGCGTTCGACGATCTATCTTTCGCCGCTCGACTCCTTACACGAGCGACTTTATAAACGCGCTTTTATAAACCACACTTTATTATGACTATTATTATGAATTCCTCAGCACCGTGAGCGCCGAGCCAAGACGTGAACTTCGTACTTATTTCCGTCAGGCAAACGCTAACGACATTAATCGTGTCCTATTTCCCTGAAATTCACCTCAGAACCCATCTCCTCTGTTTCTAAACCAGATTTAAAAAATAGTCAAAACCCTTGATCCATTACCACGACAAACCGGACGAGACGAATTCCCCAGGCGAATCGCGGCGAAACCGCGCCGTTCCGACGCGCCGCCCCGACTCACGAATTGAGGATCTTGGAGATGCCGAAATCCCCGATCTTGGCCACGTGCCGGTCCCGGTCGAGCAGGATGTTCCGAGTCTTGAGATCTCGATGCAGGATCTGCTTGGAGTGGATGTGCTGCAGCGCGATGCACATCTGAGCGAACAGCCACAGGATCTTCTGCGACACAAACACATTCAGACTCAGAATTCACATTTAGAATGCAATTATTCTAGAGTTACCGAGAAACAATTTAGTGCATCATTCTCAACCATAACTACATGCAGTGCTGCAAAACCCCATCCAACATTTGCAGCTGCTGGACCGCAATGCAGTAAAAAAAAGTTGGCAAGCACGGAGAAAAGAGCGATCGTGCCTGTTCGGGGAGGAGGTTGCCGGCGCAAGACTGAAGGAAGTCGTCCAGAGTGCCGCCCTGTAAGTATTCCATGACGAGGACCATCTCGTTCTGGAGGACGAAGCTGTCGTAGTATTGAACGATCAGCGGGTGACTCAATAAGGCCAGGACGCGAGATTCCATCAGCACCGCCTGTCGTATCGACGCCGGTAATTTTTTTTATATTTTTTTATTTATAAAGAATAACGAAGGGGTTGGAAACCTGTTTCTCGTTTTGGTTCATGACTTCGATGGCGATTTCCTTCAGAATCACCCGTTTCCCGTTCCTTAGGTCCTCGCAGAGGTGTACCGTTCTAGGAACCGAAAAGGGTCAGTAAAACGAAATCGAGAGAGCGAGGGAGGCCGAGTCGACTCCACATACCCGAAGGAACCTCGACCCACGATCTCCAGTTTCTTGTATTGGTTCATACCTGCAGGTGTGACTCGGGTAATGAGACCTGGGGAAAGGGGGGATAGCGGTGCGGCTTCATTCCAGGAAACCGGTATTCGTTTCCATATTTTATGACGGTGGGAGGAACCCCGTATTCTCACGTAAATCCAACAAAGGGAGACGAGTCGTCGAGGGGGGAAGAGCGAACGAGAGCAGGAGCCCCACGTCTCGCGACGGGCCTTCCGTCTTATCTCAGGGGGGGGGGGGGGGGGGGGGGGGGGGGGGGGGGGGGGGGACTGGAAGTCGCTCCGCAACGGAGGAAGGGCGAAGAACCAGAACAGGTTCGTCTCGTTTCTGTCTGGGTTTCGTGTTCATTGAGATAAGACGGAAGGCCCGTCGCGAGACGTGGGGCTCCTGCTCTCGTTCGCTCTTCCCCCCTCGACGACTCGTACGTACATCAGTGCATCGTCTCCCCCCCTCCTGTGTGTTTGTATACGCCCCGAGGATCTTTCCTCGTTCACTTTCACTTCTTCCCTTCCGGCTCTGGGAGGGATCACAGTTCGTCGTGGCAAGTGCGCGAGAAAGTGCATGCCGTACATCCTTCGAGTGCCATTTTCGTCTCTGCAACTCTTCCTGGTAAGCAGTTTCACGGAAGATCGAGTTTTTCACGTACGAGACCGATATGCGAGATTTACGAACGAGAAAATCGGGCGCGCCGACCGAAAAAATCGTGTCGTTCGTGTTGTCCTGTTTCACTTAGCTACCAGCCAGCTCTACGATGCCATACGTCACGCGGTTAGTAAAATATTCAACGATACAGTACAGCTTATGGAAGCCAGGCAAAAGCTAGAAATAGAAATCTCGTTATTCCTTCGTGGATAAGAAAGGAAGGCAGAGTAGTGAGGCATTGCTGCAATCGAGCTTCCCCCTCAGGGCATACCAGTAAGGGATAGCATGCCTTCATACAGGTTTTCTACCCTCTCCAGAAGAAAGGAAGAGATATCCCATTGCTGAAACAGCTTTAATGGTCTCATTTTCGTCCACCGCTCATTAACGAGCTTGAAGTAAAACAAGCATGCAGAAGATACAATCCAGGATTATGGGGTATACGGTTCACCAAGTGTAAAAAAAAAAACCTACCATATCAACCCTTTAAAAGCACCATGCAGCGCTTATCATAGTTCAACCTTCTTCTCAGTCATGAAGCCACACAAGAATTCATAGCTGCTATGAAAAAATCAAGCAACAATTTCGTCATGCAAGTCTAAACAGCTGAGGGCAAATCCACATAACCAAAGCTCATGAAAGCATCTTGGGAATATAAATGGGTAGGATTTCAATACAGGCTTAATCTGCCATTATTTATTTAAATGGGCCCAACTCATCCCATACTAATCTCCAGACCCACATGTTAAATGTATTGTAACATGCCATACATGATAAATATGCACAAGTTGTCTTATTTCCTGATTTTTCTCATGAAAAATTGGCAACATGAGTGCAACACGGATCACAGAAAAAACTGGCATCAAACCTAGCATGTGTACAGCTTTCATATCAGATCTCAATATACAATAATATAAACATGTTACATTAAGATTCACTGGGATTAGCAGGCATGATGGATATACTAACCATACCAAAACAAGCAATAGATTTCATCTATAAGGCAGCCTTAGAAGTGGAGGAGAATCAGGGTGAGATAGATGAAAGGGGCAATGCTGCACAAGTTTGAATGAGGAGGAAAAGACAGAAGAAATAAAGTTAAAACAGCAGAGGGAGAGAGCCAAAAGCAGAGGATGTTGAAGTCATCCTCACATGCACCTCAAGCAATGCACTTGGCCAGCAATCAAACTTCCATTAAGCATTACAAACATTGCGCTCAGCTCTAATCAGCAACGCAGAATGGGACAAGGTCAATAACATATCTGCTGCTTTCACTGCTTGTATCAGAAAACTATTGTCACAAGAGGCATCTGGCCATTCAAACCACATATAGCCAGTGTTACTCAACCATCTTTAATATTTATGACTGCAACAAGCAAACATATAAAAGAGAAGAATAAAAATGGACCAACAGAAAAAGCTATCTTGGACATTAGTAACCACAGGAACCCAGGTAGTTGTGGATGGGTGACCACAAAATATACTCAAGTAGGGATCTGGAAAATAGACAGCAGTGACAAATTTTTCTCCCTTAATGTGGGTCTGCTGTTAATGTAAAACACCTGTAATTCATGGCAACTGTGGGAAGACACCAGACAGATGATTTCCCTGCAGACCAGATAAAAAAAAGCATCACCAATACCAGTAATAATGATTAAAGCCACACGGTACAAAAAAAATGAGCCGACAGTCGCTTCAAAGAAAAAACCGATGGATTTCATAGCACCTATGCATTAGCAATAGGGATCATAAATGTTAACCGGAACCCAAAAATGACAAGTGCTAGGACATCATGATTTCTTAATTTCTCTCCTTCCAATTCCTTCCTCTCTCTCACTCTCAGTCTCTTCCATCAAGCAAATCTACATTAATGGAACAAGATGTACAGTCTCACAACACATTCCCATACAGATATTTTTTGCTGCAGGCATGAGACATGGTCATAACAGACACAACAAGAGATAAACAGATATTGAAAAAAATCACTCGGAATGGGACTATTTTCTCCACAAATCCCTGCATGAGATGACCTGTGATCTATCCCAGCAATGGTAGAGAACAAATGGATGAGGTGTGCCTGAGGAATGAGAATGACAATCTCTGCAAGGACACTCGACATACACAATCTGTGATTTCATATTGCACAACAAAACCGAGATGCTTCTGAATGCAGAGGGAATTTCTTCAAATGCATGATAAATGCACGTGGCAGGAAATGCACAAACGAACACAAGATAGTGGAAAAACAAACTGGGCAAATAATTTCTCATGGACAAGTGCCTCTGAAATCACAGCAATGGGCTCACATGTGCCAGCTCGTAATGACACTTGAGTAGCATCAACGGGTCCAGATGAATTCATCTCCGTTGGTCCCATGGCTACACCTTAGGTTAAGGGAAATTCCAAGCTCCTACAGTTTTGAGTCTCATATAGTGCGAGACCGAGATGGTAGTACTGCATCCATAAGCATCTTAAAATTGGCAAGAACTGAAAAATGAAATGAAAAGGCACAGCTGGAAAGGCAACACCGATTCCTGCAAAGATCACCAGGATATAAGAGATTTGCATGTTCATCCGCTCACAATATGGTCTCCTCATTGGTCAGAGACAGCACAGACACGCAAGACGAATACCACATGGCAAAACAGGCTAGTTCTCCAGCAATTTTTAATACCAACATGGACTTTGTTCCTTAAGTTTCTAGGGAGACACTGAGAGCTCCACCTATAGACTAGAGACCCGAGTTAGTGCTCCCAGATTCGTGATTTTTGATGGCCACTTTTCTCTTGGTGTTGGGATACAACATGGATGAAAATTTGTCTCTCAGGACATGTGATGGGGCAGGTGTAGTTGTACACATGTTGCAACCATAATCCTTTTCTGTTGGCCTAACCAAAAGGGGAGGGTGGCACTTCATTTATCTTTTCTTGATCCATGGAGATCTCCATTGGCATGTCCATTGTGCATGGTGGCACAGTGGCCATTGGCATGTCCATTTGCATATCCATTGAGGTGACCATTTGAATGACCATTTGCAGAGTCTGATTTTCGGTGGATCAGCCCATTTGCAGGATATCCATTCTTCCCTGCATGGGTGGTACCATTGGCCTGGAGAATATGAAAGTAATAAATACTAATAAGCAATCCAAAGACAAAACATGCACATTGATGAAGCCTGAAATAGTGCTCAGCAGACCTTGATGTCAGAATCCTGATGATGCTCCATAACATCAAATTGTTGCAAGCATGGGATGGAATTGAAGAAAGCCTGTTTTTAAAGAAGGAAGGAAAATCAATGAGCATAATCCCCTTTTCAGAATTTTGATTTGCAAAGGAAACCTCAATTTGTATATAATGGAATTCATAAAGGGAATTTACACACAGGAGTGCTAGGTCAATTGAAATTAACTGGAAATGCATGATAGCATGTTCATGTGGGGCACTATCAAGATTATTTGACAAGGAATTACCTTGCTCAATCCATTCTTGTGGCCCATCTTTGACTTGTTCCTCTTATGGGTGTAGGCCTTTTTATAGAAGTCAGTGAAGAGGAAAAAGAAGAGGACTGCATGTCCACCAATCCACCAGGAGAAGGCTTTGGGGTAGTCACAATCAATGAAGAGCAGTTGGAAGGCATGGACAAAGATGCAAATAAACTGGACCTATGGGGAAAAAAAAACAACACAAGCCAATAAGTAAAAATGACAATGCCATTTCACAATTTACTCTGTAAAACATCTGGGTACCTGAGGGGCATATACCTAATATGCATATGGGTCACTCCATCATGACTCATGTTACAAATGCACAGAATTTTCAGAAGTTAATTCCATCCTGCCTTCTGAATTTTCAATAACCAGACCATATCCCTTAAGGCATAATGATTGCAGACACTGAGCTTTTATTGGATATAATACTACAAATTTTTTAAAGTTCTGAGTGTGAGAAAATGAAAAAAAGTTTTCATGACTCATGTTACAATGAAAGGACATGATTTCCAAGTGTAGGTCTTCCATAAATTAATCCTGCTTTATTTTTAATTGGATTTAGACAATACTTCCCTGCCATTTAGGTAAAAGTTAGGTAAAAGATGGGGGATACATATCATAGCATATAAACTCTATTCATAGTTTTTTAAATAGGTAATTCCTTCATGACTCATGTTACAAAGTACTCAAGAAACTAGAATGGCCAGCTTTTCCCATTCATTTTTTATATCATTCATCATCATAACAATGGCAACGAAAAGAAAAGGCATCAACTTAATTATAAAAATGAGACTCTATTAAATTGGCTCAGAAAATGTAATGGGACATGAAAATTAAGAGAGGGGCAAAAGTACCAACATTTCAAAACAAATGGGCAATCCAACAGTTGATGTCACCACAAAGAGTGCATCAGAGAGCATATGATTTGTGCTTTGGATCATCCTGGCTGTAATGTCATGCAGCATCGCCATATTGAATTTGAGAAACCCAATATGGCCATATCTTGACTCTTCAGAGTATACACTGTTTCTGAATGCTCTTTTGGAGATGTTATTTGACAAGAGCTGAAAACTTGTTGGTGTGTGACATATGATGCATCTTGTCAAAGAAGTCATCTTATCCTCAAGTACCAATGCAAACAAATATTTTACTGTGTCTTGAAGATGAATGGTTTTTCACATGTAACATGAGTCACAAAAATTGTCATTTTAACTGTCAGTACTGTCTTTGCTTTCATGGGTGAATGCTGTTGGCTCCTCTTAGCTATTTGGGACTCCAATCCATCACAATAGAACTTGGACACTAAATTGCATCAGTGCAATATCCTTTGACTGTGCAATTTTGTAACGTGGGTCACAAGTGACATGAGTCACAGTGTTGATTATCATTGACTTGGTGTGTTAGCGAGTAAAAAATGCAATAAAGTGCTGCTGAAAGGCAGAAACAAAGGAAAAAAAGACAAATCAAGAGGGGAATAAAGATTAATGTACAGTATGATGAGGATATGATCAGTCATTGCAGCAGTTCAAACTTTGCCCCAGATGCTATAAAAGTAGTATGGTGGTAGTAGCACATATACAGCTGGCCAAAAAAAGTAAACCACTTGAAATTTTACAATAAAATCCATATTTTTGAACAGATTGACTTTTAATGGAATATTATCAAATATGTTTTTGAAGGTTTTCTTTTTTAATGCCATGTGTCTGTTACTTCCCATACTTCAGTTATGGCAGGTTTTGTTAAATGGTCAATATTCTGTGTGAATAGACATGCCATTGCTGCTGCAAGAGACGAATCCACACTTGCATTAGAATTTATTAAATGTATGCATAAACAAGAAATTTTCAGATGGTGAAAAACATGCTTTTGGTGACATCTTGTAAAGACTTCACTATGATCACTCAGGAACAGATTTTTAAATTAAAATTCAAAAGTGGATCTGTGCCTCGCAATGGCAGCAGCAATCCTTTTCACAAAGCATTTTATTAGTTTCAACAGAATCTGTCATAATTCAAGAATGAAAAATTGGAGTCACCTGACATTTTAACACATATTGAAAAACATGCAATGTTCCTTTACAGTTTGAAGTCAATCTGTTCAAAAATATGGGTTTTATTGCAAAGTTTTGAGTGGCTTACCTTTTTTTTTTGGTCAACACTGTAATTCCATTACATGATACTTTCATAATATTTCCCATCTTGCTTCTGCTTTTCTCTCCTTCATTTCTGCCTTTCAGCAGCACTTTATTGCATTACTTTATTTGTGTTAACAATAAATCAATATAGAGAAAGGAAACAGGCACTGTGACTTGTGCCACTTGTGACTCACATTACAAAAGTTGCACAGCCAATGGATATTGTACCAATGCAGTTCATGGTCCAAGTCCTATTTTTATTGATTGGACTAATGTATAGCTAGGAGGAACCAGCAACATTTGCTCATGAAAGCAAAGACAGAGGAGTGACAATCAAAATGGCAATTTTTGTGACTCATGTTACATGTGAAAATCCATTCATCTTCAAGACATCACAGAAGATTCGCTTGCATTGGTAACTGAGGATGAGATGGCTTCTTTGACAGAACGCATCATATGTCACACACCCAAAGATTTCAGCTCTTACCTAATTAAAACCTTCAAGAAATCATTAAAAAAACAGTGTATACTATGAAGGGTAGAGAAATGGCTATATTGGGTGCCTTACATTCAAAATGGCGATGTTGCAAGACATCACAGCCAAGATGAACAGAACACTGCATTCTTTGTACTTTAGGATGTACTCTTTGTGGCGACATCCACTGTTGGATTGCCCATTCGTTTTGAAATTTTGATTCATTTGCCCCTTTTGCCATTTTTTATTTGCAAAAGTCATCATACTCCATTCAAAAGCCTTTTGCCAGTATTGGCATTCCATAATAACTACGCAAGTCAAGACCTCATGGGTGAAATATGACAGTAAAACATGAGTTAAGACATGTCCTCAGAGGCAGGATAAATCCCACACGTGACAATAGTAGCAGATTGAACTTCAGCTTCCTTCAAATCTCTTTTACAATGTATGCTTGGCACTCAGACTAGTGAAGGGCAAATCCCTCAGGAAACAGAAAAGNTTAGGATGTACTCTTTGTGGCGACATCCACTGTTGGATTGCCCATTCGTTTTGAAATTTTGATTCATTTGCCCCTTTTGCCATTTTTTATTTGCAAAAGTCATCATACTCCATTCAAAAGCCTTTTGCCAGTATTGGCATTCCATAATAACTACGCAAGTCAAGACCTCATGGGTGAAATATGACAGTAAAACATGAGTTAAGACATGTCCTCAGAGGCAGGATAAATCCCACACGTGACAATAGTAGCAGATTGAACTTCAGCTTCCTTCAAATCTCTTTTACAATGTATGCTTGGCACTCAGACTAGTGAAGGGCAAATCCCTCAGGAAACAGAAAAGTGATAAAGGTAGCTAACAGAAATATATCTACCAGTTGACAACATGAATCCAATTCAACAGATCTAGAGATGCAAAGAGGGAAAAACACTTTAGCTCAAGAATATGGACATATCCACTTATGACCTGGAGAGAAGAAAAAAGCCTAACCATCTGAAGTGAGGTGAGATATTTCTTCCACCAGAGGTATTTGTGCCAGGAAGGTCCAAGGGCTGCCATCATATAGTAGAAGTACATGATGATGTGAACAAAAGAGTTCAGCAAGCCAAAGAAAGTACTGTGACCACCTACAACAAAAAAACCATATTCTCTGGTAACTATATCTTGGAATGAATTGAATTGATGAATTGAATACAAACAAGACAAAACCAGAAAAAAGTCACAACTGGACAGAGACTCTTACCTGGTGTGAACTTGACCCCAAACCATACGCTCATTGGCATGACACCATGATGGACAACATGAAGAGTGCTCACATGTTCAAACTTCTTCCTCATCACAAAGAATATCTGCAGAAAGAAATAGTTCTCATAAAATCAGACCCAATAAAAATGGTAATGCTGAAGATCCAGGAAAAATACAAAAATCACAGGAAAGCAAAAGGGTTCATGGAAAAATGACTGAAAAAAAATACACTGATGAGGAAAGACAACTGAACCCTGCAATGATATTTGGCCAATTATCTGCCAGTATTTTCTCCATTAATGGATTCTCTGTTCAACATAAGGTCAACAAAAATGAACATAACAAATAAAACTGAATAGAAACTGATTACATGAATTGAACCTGCTGAATGAGATTGGCTAGTCATTTGCAAGGACATTGAATCTCAGAAATAGCATGAGTTATTGAAGCAATATCAGGCAATAAACATTTGAAATGGAAAAATATGAAACTTTAAGTACAACAGAGCATGCAGAGAAAGAGTCCAAGTGAGATAGTAGAACTGCAGCTATAAACTTGTAAAGGGAGAACTTGACCTTCAGGGTATAAATATCCTTATTGTTTGAAAGGCAATAAGGATAGAGTGTTTGTATGTGCTCCTCGAAAATACAGTTTGAGTCAATATTTTGTAAAGTCCTAAAAATAAGTTGTCGCAGCTACTTGCAAAGGACAACACCGGAAAGACATGGCATTTGTTGGCTACATATACAGGGTGACCCATTTAAAAAGTTTATCAATGAATGGTCATGTACAATGCAAACCAATGGACAGTGGAAGCTAAAACTTGGCACATTTACTGGTGGCTGTGAGCAAAAAAGCACAAGATATATGAGATGCATTTAACACAGAGGGTTGGGTGGGATTCTTGCAGGGAGGGTTGGGTGGGATTCTTGCAGGCATATAGGCCACAGAACCAGTCTTTAAAAATTTTCCCACAAGATGTTTCAATGCCTGTTCATGGGCATGGACCTTGGGTGCATGTTGTGGCTTTGACGATGTGACCCCAAGGCTGCTTCCACATTCCTTCCAGTTTCATAAAACTTCAGTATTGGTTGGGTTCTTAAAGTGAGCACTGACATGTTACCTTTCCATGGTCACACAGATCTTTTATATCATTTGCAGACCATGAAACGTGCAAATTATGCACTGATGGTGCCATCTGTTGCCACTTTTCTATTCACAGATTTGAGAAGCCCATGCTGCCAGTACTAAACATGACAAGTTTACGCTTCTTCCATCTATTGGTTGGTGTTGTACATGGCCATTCATCAATACACTTTTGAAATGGGTCACCCTGTATTTGGGAAAAGAGCCACAATTCATGGTTGTCAGTAAGTACATGTGCTGAAAGCAAAAAATAAATGAATAAATTGCAAAATGGTATGCAGAGACTAGAGAAAAATCTGGAAGGTGGGATGAAGTGACAAAACAGCATAGACTGATATGCCTGAATAAACTAAAATTTAAATGATATCCTGTACAAGATATTGCACTGTTTATACTAGCATCATCACAAAATATAGGGAAATTTTTTTAAATAAATCACCATACACAAAAGTAAACTTGGCCAAATTATGAGGCAATGGAGTTATGTTTTGATTACTTCTGCTTCTATTACTTCTCTTTCTACATTGCCAGGAAAGGGCCTTTAAAACAGATCTCAAGCAGGATATATTGGAAAGCAACAAAAACATAAGCTGCATTAAAATGAATGGTGGAAAAATAAATATCCACCAGAAACAAGAACCTTAAAGGAATGGAAAATGATCTGTTCATTTTGACCTCATTTTTTGGTGATATGGCCAAATAAATTCAATTTATCAAGTTGAATCTTCTAAAGTTTGCACAAGCATGCAAATTCAGCATAAACTCAATTAAAGTCTCTTTTAAGTTGGTCAGGAAGTGGAAAGAGGAGAGTAATTCTGGTTGAAAACAATTAGGAATCAGAAGCTGATCCACCATCTTGAAAATTCCCTTACCGTGTCAAAGAATTCAGTGAACTTGGACATGTAGTACCACCAAGATGCAAATGTCATCTGCAAAGAATTTTGAGATACTCCAATGTGATCATCATAGTATGTATTGCATCAAAAATGACAAAAAGAATGCAGATTTTGTACTCACCCGTTTGGCAAGTGGGTCATCAGAATAGTCCACAGGCTGGCATCTTAAGCTGTAGTACTGATGCCATCCCGAAAAATAAATCTGAAGCAAAAAAAATCAATGCATAGTTCAGATCTTAAAACTTCTTACTAATCCATCACTCACATCCTAAGACTTCCAAGAACATAACACTATATCATTGGAGAAGTGTGAAGACCTACATGCATAAATACAATTTATTTTGAGCTCCTGGTTCCTGTTTTTGGACTTCTTATACCAGGGTGTGTAGATAGGCGACCTTCAACTTTGATCACTGGATGGCAATTATTAGAGAAAATGTGTTCCTTGATTGAACACACTTTGGAACTGTCCCCAAGGCTCTGCCCATGCCCAATGTTTGGTCAGTAGACTGAGGCTAGGAGTCAGTCCCTTGGAAGATCTCTTTGTACACAAAAAAAAATCAAAAAATTTTTAATTTTAAAAAAAAAAAAAAAAAAACAAAAAAAAAACAAATGAAATGATGATAAAAAGCAGTTGAGAAATCTGGGAGGTCTTCACCAGACAAAATCTAGTCATACAGACATCTGCAGATCATTATGCATGTATTTATAGATATTCCCAAATAACCAAATGGGCTCAAGTCTCTATGAAGATCAATTTCCCAGCTTATATATCATCTATACGTATGGAAGATAACCTGAGGACAAACTGGGTGGGTCACAGCACCATAGCTGTCAAACTGAAACATAGTAATAACCTGAGATGGGCCTTTATTCCCCTTAGGCTTTTGTTTCTCCTACCCTAAATCCAGCGCTGGGCAAATCCATAAAGCATATACAAGTTGGCCATGGAGTGCATATTGATACTTGGAGAAGTGAAGCTTGCAAGCCATGTGAGAATGACATGAAGGACATAAGAGAGGCCATCAAACACAATGGGGAGCATGATGGGAATTTTAATCATCCAGAACAACAAAACAGCAGTCATAGAGGGCACCATTACTATAAACTGCTCAATATGGCATACATGTTTGGAATGATGCTGGTAAGGGTGTCAAGGAAGTGCAAGCACTTCCAGTTGTGTCCCAACTCGAGAAGCATTGTTGGGCAATCATGGCCATCATCTTGGTATGCTGTGACATGGAGAATGAAATCTTGAGAGATTTATGGCACTATTTTAGCTCATTTCCTTGCATAGATGCCATCATTGATAAACATGGAGGCCATAATGAGCAATAGACAAAGTGGTACTCTCTATGTGACTGCTGAGATAAAAGATCTAATCAGATATTTTTATGAGGACTGGGGAGAAACAACTCTCTCTTGACTTCTTAGCATATTAGAATCTATTATAAGCATGACCATAAATATGAGGGTCATCCCAAAACTAATTCTTCCAATTTTGTCTACTGCAAACTATTGAATTCCACTTAAGTGAAGGAGTATAGCTGACAGATTTTTTGTCATCTCATAAAGATCTACATGACACCCCCAGTGATAAACAGCATTCACATTGATGTAAACCTCACTATAAAAAAAAAAACTTTCTTGAGGTGACGAATGTCTATTAGTGGTACTCCTTCAGTAGTATAGTGAACATTCAGTGAAGACAACCACTGCTCTCTGCCTATGTTAGGTATTGTCACACTCCACAATTTTGAAGTACCACAGTGGCTGAGCTTTCCAGGAAGGACTCATAAAACATTACAAAGAATGGGAGGGCATTTGAAAGCATCAACAAGTGCATTTTTTAGTTTGTGCCACCAGTAGTTTGCAGCAAACAAAACTAGAGGCATTACTTTTCGGGTGAGGCTTGTATAGTCCATGTATCAGGAAAAAGCCCACTTTCAGGAGGTACTCAACAGCAAAGGGAAGGCTAATCCTTTTAATAGTCATCAACTAGATTAAGGGAAATGTCTAAGGGAACTGTAGCATGACATATTCAGAGATGTGTCACATTTTCAGGATCGTTAGATTGCCCTTTCATCCTCATGTACTTCTGGCCAATAATTTTATTGAAGAAAATGAAGTCATTCATTTCTCAATATCCAGGAGCACCTGCCATTATAATAGCTAAGCAACTTGTACTGGCATCAAAGAGAGGAGAAAGCCAGTAACTGAGCTGTTGGTATTTTATCTTCCCATGTTTGACATCTCTACTCTTCCCCAAAGGGGAAACCACTAATTGCCCTTCAGCTTCCCCATGTCAAATAACTCTTCCCCTCTCACCTCTTTGTCAGAAAGCCAAGCCATAGATCTATCACCTCCATTAATCATCTTATTCTTTAGAGAATCTGGCTTTTTCTCACGATACATGGACTTCATATGCATGAGTACATGCTCAAATTTGTCAAACTTCCTGCAGATTGCATATTCATATCAAACCCTAATTTTACACATTACATGGAGGATGCATTCTTTCTATTATTATTCAAAGCAGTCACGTAATATTTAGTCAAAAACAGTGTTTGTAATTCTGCAACAGGTATGAGAGTTTTGAAAAACCTTGGTTTTCTTGGACAAAAAGCCTCACATTAATTTTTGCAAATTTTTAACTAATAAACATGAATTTCTGGGCAAGTTAATACCATCTAGTTCTTTTTGATTAAGGAAATTTTCCATTTCATTTAGTTATGGAAATCCTGGTTTTGTTCATAAAGCCAAGGGTGTTTTTTTTAACCTTCTCAATCAGCACCTCAAAGAACTCGGTACCAGTCTGGATATCACCAATGAAATCATGCTTCCCAATCATCAAAAATAGATCCTCTCATCATTTCAGAATGTCACCTTGAGATACAAATTTGAATTTTTTAATCAAAAGCCATCTCTACTATAAATTCAAAGCAACTTCAGCAATTTGGATTTTTATATTCTTTTTTTTTTTTTTTTACACAATTTTGTTTCAGGGCTAACATTGCAGTTACTGTCATAATCATAGCATGCACAGAAACTTTCTTCTTTCTAATTTCTAAGTTCTGCTATAAAATGACACATCAACGAAAAAGAATAAATTATAAGTACGATATTGCCAAAGAACCACAAAAAATGGACATTTAAAAATATAATGAATGTTTCACAGCTCAAAGTTTGAAAGCAATGCCACCTACCATGATCAAGATGTCATGGAAAAGCAGGCCTTTCCTTTCTAATGTCTACCATTCCAATAGAGGTTATATTTAATCAAATCATAAAAGAATCTTCAGTCTCATTTCTATAAATTCAGAGTCAACTAAAAACAGCATAGCTCTTGCCACCAAAGGAATACATTCCACTAAAGCAAGAAAAAATCCATCTCTTTTCAAATGTAGAATTTACCATTTTATCCTCTCCTGCACTACAACAAAGACCATGTGAACACCTACCTGAAACCAATGCTTTACTTCTCCATTACTTACATATTGGCAGAGCCAGATGCTGAAGATCATCTGCACAAAGTTGTAGACAACTAGGAGCCGCCTGATGTCAAAAGGTGGTCTGTTCTTCATATACCTTGGCCCAATGACTTTCACAAGAATGACATAGAAGAGACAAATTGACAAGGTTGGCAGGGGTCCACTCATGAACAGCCATCCATCCACTCTTTTATCTGTGAAAATAAGTTGAAAATATTTCAATACAATAAGTGAAAGTCACACAACCATGCATGCAAAATGACTGCAAAGATACTAGAGATGAAAAGTGAATCTTACCCCTCTTGTTGATCATGAGGTCATTATACCAATGAATGGGCTGATACACCATTTCCCTGAGAATTTCCATGGTTGGTATTTGCCAAACGAGTTAAAGGAATAGAATAATTTTCTGCTTCAGAGTTCCTTAAGTTGAGTGAGATTGGCCCACAGAGTAAAGATGGCCGTTGTCAAGGAGACAACATTGTGACCCAGGCAGTTTTATATAAAGCTTCCCTGAAACAATTTCACTATTTCTTCACAATCGGCACAATGTGTTACAACTGACACACTCTCACTTTTTGAAGCTCAAATTTAGCATGTGCATACTCTGGCGTCTGCAACTGTCTTATGTCACTAGTGTATCACTGGGCTCTCTGACTCTGGCAGCAAGGATTTTGCCTGAAGCAGAATGAATACAAACTGCCCCAATCAATTTCCTGATGTTGGGTTGGTTGAGCTATCTTTCAGGGAGCCAGGGCAGACCTGCAAAACATATAAAAGTTATTATTGTAAAAGCCTCCAATATCCAAGAAAATATAGAAGGGAATTAAGTTCTGTCATCTCCCAGCTATTACTACAATTAATAAAAAAAAGTTCATATTTATTATAAAATGGGGCCTAAAATATGCCTATATACATATACACATGGGGTTGCAAACAAATAGTTCCCAATTTAAAAGCCTGCAGATGCAACACCATGCAAGGTCTTAGCAAGAAATGCATAGGTTATCACATTCAGTAAGGGTACTGCAAGGCTGTACTGACGTATCAGCGACCACTGGTAGGAACCATTGGTATGACACCATCAGACAGTGAATATGTTCCAAAGAAGAACATGTAGAATGAAGAAAAATATGAAAAATTGAATGGGACAAGGCTTGCAACTGATTTTCAACAGCAATAGGAAAGAATTAGAGCTGTCCCAATGCACACTCCAAAGAATGGATGTCACTTTCAATAGTTGGGAGGCATGATAGAATTTGACACCTATCGTGAATTTCACACCTCCCCCAGCACTCCCAGATCACAGGCAAGAGACTATGGAATGCAGATTAAGGTCTGTGCCTCAACAGAGGCAAGAAACAATGGAAGATAAACCTCCACCTGATTGCAGCAAGAAAATATTGAATCTGCCAGCACCCCTCCCACCCATCCCCAGGGTGCATTGATGCACTATTGACATTTCACATTGGCACTTCAATGTTTTCTAAGCAACTAGCACAAAAGCTCCAAAAAATTAAAAGAATATGGCTTCTTAATAGGTCATTAAACAGTAATATTTGATGCAACGGTTCTTCGCTATTTCTCTATATGTAAAAATATGCATTGGCACCGGCCAATAGGAATGAGAAAAAAAATTAGCCATCAGCCCATTGGCTAAATGTGACCATATGTGACCATAAGCCCTTCTTATATGTGTACTTTTTTCCAAAGCATATCCACAAAATTTGTTTTTAGAACCAATATAACAGATTTTTTTCAAGGTGTAATCAAATTAGCTAGCACCAGAGTGCAAACCCTGGATGCTTCTTGGCACACAATGGGACATGACATATAAAAACCCAACTTAGCAGGTAGACATATACCACCACTTGCTTGTTTGAGATCATGAAAAAAAAGCTTTTACTTGGGTTTTGAGTAGTTCAATTATTTGAAGAGTTAAAACAATCACCATTTGCAGAGTTTTAAAAAGGCTTGCAACCATGTATCTCTGATTGCTTTTCCTTACAAAGAAAACATCCTCTCATTCAACAGGACTTAGAAATCTTTTAAAACAGTCAATTAGGATGTCAATTAGGTCAAAAGCTGCTTTGAATTAAGAGATCAGTCTGTTGTAGATATTTATGACCAGGGTCAAGAGGAAGCCATGAATCATCCAAGGGGTCAGTTGCAGGTCAAGGACTGACAAAGAAAGGTTCTTCACTGGTCCAAGCCATCTTCTGAAGGATAATTCATCCCTGAGGATGATATGAACATTCTTCTATGAGTTGAATATGTCCTCCAGATCCCCAGTCAGGTTGGGGAAGATTCCCAATATTAAGCAATCCATGATTGTCATAATGAGCCTAACAGGACAGGGAGCTGGATGGGGCACTAAATTGTTGCATATAGAGTTTGAATGGGAACAGAGTTGATAAAGGAAGCAAGAAATCCATAAATTTATCACTAAATGAACTCAGCTTACAATTAATGTTATAAAAATTATTACCATCATCTATCTCAAACTACACTTCCTGCTTATTGGTTCACATGTTTTGAAAACAGCTGGTTATCACAGAGATCACGAAACTATGCTTTAAATGTTTAGCCCTGTGCCAAATTGTTTGACTGGTATAGGGTTCAAAGCATTAAAGGTAAATATTTTTTGTTGATGTTGGCAAGCTTATTTATTGCAGATAAAGCAGGAAAATATAGAATGCTCCCCTCTAGATTCTTGTTTTGGTTAGGTTCAGTGGTGTGCCAATAAGCTAATGGTCCTAGCCATATTTTGTCTCTTTTTTCCTGCATGACAAAAGCAATTACATTGATTGGTTAACCTTGTGCTCTGACAACTGTTGTGGCTGTCCTGATGTGTTTAGGAAGCTCTGAACATGACAAATGAAGCAGAAGAAGTAGAAGCCTCTTTTGGGAAGAAGCCTGAAGAGTTCTGGTTTGCAAATATTCCTTGGACTAAGAATCAACTCTCAAAGCTGTGTTGGAAGGCAATGTCACTGTGCTTCAAAAGTTTGGAACCTTGTGGCCTAAAAGTGGACAAACCCATGCATGGTTCTGGCTTCTATGTTCCTGAGAATTTGATCTTCATCACTTCCTACTTTTGTGAATTGAATGTGAGTCCAGTTTTCACTATTATCACACTGCATAGCCTTATCAATATTCTTCATGGCATCAGTATAGAATGACCACAGGAATTTATGGGAGTAGGAATCTAAGTTAGCTTTGATGTCCATTGTTAGCAGGAGGAGTACTTAGTAAGAGGATCTGGACTGGTGTGAGAAAATGCAGATATAGCTCTCCTTGAGGTAATAAGTGTACATCTACATTCAACCAAGTGCCTACAGGTGACTATGTTGGTCAACCTGTGATAGATGGTAGAAACTTTGATGGTAAGTGTAGGTAGACTCTAAAGCCCAACTCTACATTAGGAACATCCCCAATGGGCCTATGGCTGCAGAAACACCTATATCTGCTTAGGTCAAAAGAATGCTATCTGTGGTTTGGGCCTAGTCCTTAATCCTGGAGGGTCAAACCACAGGAATTAGAGAATTGAGGCTAGGATTCTACAGAAAAATCCTAATAACCATGCAAGCCTAGTTACAGTTATTCATGAAGCACCAATTAATGGCCCTTCTTTGCAGTCACAGTTAAGTGCATACCCCCTAGGGATATTGTGTTGCTCCTTGAGTTTAGGTTGGGTTAGGTTAGGGGGGGGGGTGGTGCGTATTATATATAAAAGGAATCCTAACTGATGTAGCATGTGTCCAGTTTAATTCAACTGGAAACATTCAAGACTGAGGGAGTGCAATTTCATTAGGGGATATGCACTTAACTGTCACCCTTCTTTGCTTAACTACAAGCTTGCTATCAAAGTAAGATGAAGAAAATAAAAATTGAACACAGGCAGGTTATCACCAGTTTAAATAATGAGCATCTACATGAATCTGACTTAAACAAATAAACCTCCTTCAGTCTTCCAGTTCACAAGAAGCATCAGGTTTAACTGTAGCAGTACCCATGTCAGCACAACTTGCTTCAATATGTCATCTATACTTCTTGTCTATATAGTCACCTTAAAGATTGACTTCCCTTCTGAAACTAAAAGGAATCAGCCTTCCCACTGTGGCCTAAACAGGCCTTGGGACCATGTTATTATGGGCCTTAAGTCAATGCCTCCAGCAGGTTTCTCATTCAAAGCACATCAGCTTATAATTTTGCAATGCAAAGAAAATTTTTAAATCATATAATGTTAGCTTGAATAGGCCTAGCAAGAACATTTCCCACATGATATTTTTTATTATTTTCCGGGAGATGTAAAAAACTTAAATCAAAGCATTTCAATGCACATCGCCTCCATGAATCTTTTTTAACTCTAGAGTAGGCTTATATTACTAGGCTACTTTAGACTCACTACGTATATTACCTAGCAGGTCAAGGCCTAGCCCCCTCCATGGTCATATCCATGGTTTCAAACCAAAAAAAGCAGGCATATTTCCGCCCCCTAGTATGTTTCGAGTACGAAGTTAATTCATAACTGGAACATCATGCCTGCGTATTTTACTAGGTCATAACGAATACGCATCAGTTAGTCTGGCCATTGCGGCCCCAGCCCAACATACATACAACTATACCCGGCGACATACAAAGAAGCGAAACCGGAAATACGAAGCCTAGGCTAAGCAATAAAAGAATGAAAGGGGGAAAAGGTGAAGGAGAGGGGAGGGACGCCGGTAATGAGCAACCGGAGAGAAGCCGACATGACGCCGCGTATTCGATTGAACACACTTGGCCCCAACTGGCGACGAGTTACCTCGGGATCAAAACACCTTCTCTGGAACCCTATGAAAACTATTCAAGGTCGCGTGAATGAAAAAGATTCCTTTCCATACCTCAACCCAGTTCCAAAATTCTGTAACCTCTTACATGGAGCAGAGGAGGGGGATGGGGACGAGGGTCACAGTTTCTCAGAACCAACCAGAACACAAATGAAGATTCAAAGGGCGGGTCACGGATGAATCTGAGTCAGCCAGCAACCAATGAATAAGAGGACTGAGCAATACATGAATCACATGAACAGAGATGATACTGATTCACTGTATCCTGCAACTACACCGGAATACGGATTCACGCAAGCCTTGTCAGGCGTGGGTGACAGCCCATGCGGGAAGGGAGAAGATTCGTGACTCTTAAGTGACGGCTTAACCCAATGTCATAAAAAAAAATGAAGCGAGTGGTTAGCACTTCCTTTATCCTATTCCTACAGGTGTCTTCTCTCGTCGAAGATGATGAAAAGAAGAATGGGAGTGGACGGCTGAAAATTAAGAAAATTAGAATCATACGCCTCGGATTTCGGAGGGAACGCATTGTGTGTCTGGTGAGGAATTCATCCTCCCCCTGACAAAACCAACCTGGATGCGAATAAGAAACGCGGAGCAGTCCCTGAAGACCAGGGAGTATAAAGGAATGGAAATTCGCTGATACACAGCCGTGAAATTGAAAAGGGGAGAGAATCGATGGGTCCTCGAACTCTTCCACCCTTCAGTCGGTAATCAACGGGCGCATTCACAGCCCGGTTCATTGGCATGAGGGTGTCACGTGGGCCCGATTGCACCATATTCGTTGCGATCCTAAGATGCCATGCCGGAACGACTGGACAGATCGTACGTGACTTGCGTAATGAACAAATATTGACAAAAGATTCCTTACTAGAGCTTCCCCTGCCCCTCCGTCGTTGTTTTTCTTTATCCAAAGCTTGAAATGATAAATGCATCGGATGACCGGGAGGCTTCA